ATTGGCGATTTCCAAGCAGTAGCATATGGTGAGCTTTTATAATCGACACATTCGCCATAAAATAATTTACTCTTCGTGTATGCATGTAAAGGCGTGTTGTTATGTTTTCACACATAGCAATGCAAGGTGTATCCGATTCCAGCCAATCAGAACAGAGTATTCACATAATTTACAGTGTGTGAAAGATCAATAACACATGCAAGGTCACCAGATCAACAGTTGTAACGGTGATGATTGGACTTCTCACATTGGATTTGATGACTTGCCAACTTGACCCTTGCAAAAATGTCATTTAAAATGTGTTCTTTTAGTGATTTTGTTCCTTTTAGATAATTTTAAAGAAAATATTTTGCAATGTGTGTTAAGAATTTAAGCCCAAGACTCAATGCATTGTAGGTGCTTCATTCGGTTCCACTCAGGCGTTGTTTCCTAAACTTTGCATTCCCGCTGCTCGGTCATGCAAAAATTTGGAAACAACACCTTCCTGATATGATTCAGAAAACAATGCACTGAGTCCAGGACTTAAATCCTTTAATAAGATTGAGTAAAGTAAAATGCATTTTTAGAGTACATTATCATTGAATATTATCTATAATGTTTCAAAGTCACGGGGGATAAGCAAAACGAGGGCGAAGCCACGGACTGCGACTCGCGTAACTTTACACCGCAGCCCAGCGCCAAAATGGAGGGACATCCGGCAGTGCCTTCTGCTTCTTCCGACAAAATAGAGAAATCCAGGTATTTTAAATGCTATCGTAGTGTCTAATCGGTGACCAAAATATTACTCTGTATCTACTGTTGGTCTGTAGATAAGAAAATAAGCAGTTGTCCAGATCAAGCTTAAACAGTAGCAAAGTTCTGATTTTACCTGTAATATATGTGCATATTATTTAATTTACTATACATTTGAAAGGAGTTTTAACACGTTTCTGATATCTAAAGGTTAGTTGAGACTCCGAGTATAATTCGTGAAAATGATTTGATAATAGAATGTGTTCATGAGGAGAAAATTAGATTCAAACTGCGCATTCATAGTGGACGCAGTCCAGTAAACAAAGCTATTTCAACAACGCAACACAGCCTCCATTGATATTCTAAGCAACGCAGTCCAGCCGCGAACACGAAATAAATAAGATAGTGTAAACTATATTCCTACGCTATTATTGTTTCAGGAAAAGAAAGTCAGCATCCAGATTATCATTCAAAGTTACGTTGATTTACATATATCTATTACCTGAATAAATGTCCCAAATTGCTATATTGTATCGTTTAAGACCTAGAAATTTGGCAATTCAATAGCGTATTTGGCAGAAAAGTCGAGCGCAAGATGACAACGTAATATGTTTATTACAAACCAATTTGTGGATAGGGTTAAATATATAGATAATTGGATAGTGGTGAGACTTTTTATAAGAAGTAGAAATGCGAAACAATTAACTTTTTGATGATGCAATAAAAGCTGTTGGGGGAAGGGTACATTAACTAGTATTTAAGATATCAGGAAAATATCAAATAATTGGAGAGTTGGTGAGTTAATGTAATTTTGGATGATCTTTCCAACAGTCCATCAATATTGCTAGCTACCATAAATTCATGATTTCAACTGTATTTGACAGCTTGTACATATTTGCAGAATGGATTGAGACACGATGTAGGTCTATTAAATAGCCCTTTATATTCAATTTTGTCCAAAGTTGCTCCATTTCGGCCACACCTGTACACACATTGTGCTATCTACCTTTGGCTGTGATTGCGTTCAGCTTCAGATATAAAGCAACACTGAGTCGCGGACTGCGTTGGGCAGATGGATGGACTGCGGCTATTATAAATTCCAATTTTCTATGTAATTGTACGTTTTCCGCTTACCAAATATCACACGAAGATGTAATTGTAACAACAGAACATGAATAATTATATTAATTCGATGTCATTTCTGATTCCTTTGTTTAAATCGGTATATTAGGGACAAATATTGACAAAATTACATTTTTTGTGGCAGATTTCGAATTCATTTGTGTTCATGCTAAACTATTGGACAGCCGAGCACCAAGAATGCCATTGCAGGTGGAGTATGAATATGTTGATCACCGACTGGAACATACTAGCTATTGTGTAGAATATCCAAACCAATAATCTACCCCAAATCCTAACATGCCTTCCAAATTAAGTTTGGACTTACCGCCATTGTTCAGCTATAATGCGTTGTAACCTCGTTTTGAATTACGCGAGTCGCAGTCCGTGGCTTCGCCCTCGTTTTGCTTATCCCCCGTGAAAGTCGTATTTAAAGGCAAAATCAGATCTATAGGGGTGAAAAAATTACAAGCAACATGTACAATTGACCCATTAATCTATTCTTTACAATCTCAAATACAATATCTCCAAAAAGATTCATGATGTGTTATAAATTGGTGAAGTTATTATGGATTCAAAGTTTAAAAATGGGTGAAAAATGTTTAAATTCTCCCAAATAATAAGAATGGTAACCATTCTTATAGAAAAATGACACCTTATTGTAAAAATCTTTAGTTTTCCTGAAATAAAGTGTGCACTTTGGGGATTTTTAGAAAATAGACATGACAAGGAATGACATGAGCCAGAAATTTTCTAAAATTGAAACAATTTTTTGTTGGCCTGCTGGCTAGATCTGATTCTCTCTTTAAGTATAGATTCAGACATGTATTCAAAAATGGAGATGGAGAGGAATGTCATATAAAATTGGTGAAAATAATTTGATTTGTATGACAGCAATTGATCTTGAAGTTTACGATTTAAAATATAATCAGAATGCATTGCTTAATGACAAAGTGAGATCATATGAAGTGAAAACAGATCCAAACTAGTTTTATATTTGAATTTCAGATCCATCCAATAACTGGGCGGATATTATTGATGCATGCATAATCGACTATAATGACGTGATTTACACGAACATAAATTCCTTAGAAGAATGCAAACAGTTATGTTTGGAGGAAACCTCTATCATATGCGGGTCTGTGGAGTATGGCATTGAAGGTGGTTCCCATTCGAAAAATTGTCAGCTCTCGACTATGTATTCAGCGACTGTCACTCTCGCAATACCATGTGGCCATGATATTCTATACTCAGAAAGGATTCAAGGTTAGCCAATAGAAATCTATTTTCTCTCGTATTTTCTCTCCGTGTTAGTCTTAAAAAGTGGATAATTTCACCCGTTTGAGAGAATTTTTGTTGAATTAACCAACGGGAATTGCTTGTCCCATTTGGGGGACTTTATAAGACTTATTTTCCACACCGTCACTACTCTTTCATATTTATGTCTCAAATCATATCAATTCTATACACATTCTCGTTTATCCGTTCAATAAATTCATCTGAATATCGGTGTAACATATCAGGACATTGATTTGTGATAAAAACGACAAATGGAGGTATTCAAAGGCCTTGAAATCCAGCGAAACATCCTTCTAGGAATCAATTTTCTTGTCAATAAGGATTGATTTTAGATATGGCAAGTAATATGTTTTTACTGGTTGAGGCTGAACAAACCCATTTTTAATAAATGAGTATTTCAGAATCGCGATCTGACGCATAATAATGATATATCCATATCCCTATACAATAATCATAAAGGTAGTAAATGCTCATTTTCCCAGAATACCACTGGTTAATTACCTCTTGAAAGGTATGGTAAGGTAAAGATGGGTTAAGGTTACATCCATTTAACAAAGTCAACGTAGATTAGACGAGACAAAATGGGCTTGCTCGATGAATTTGACAAACCCATACCATAATATGCATGTCCTATACTTAATGATGGGGATGTTATCCAATCCTTTGAGAGCATCATAGACCTTGGTACGTCTTATGCAGTCAACTATATCATCAACCTCTATATATTTTTCAGGTTATAGACGGAAAGAGTTGATTGCTTACCTGCGACACCCTGGAAAAAGGCTTGAAAACCACATTGTGCAACTGGGATCGTTTAGCTCACCATTGGAATGTGCAGAATTGTGTAGCACTTACTTCATCTGTGTTGCTTTTAATTTCAACAAAAACAATGTCGCCGACAATTGTCAATTATTGTCTCAGAAGATGGATGTCTCAGCCCAAAGCGACGTGCTTGCGGATGCAAACTGGAGCTATTATGAGATTACTAACAGTGTTTTGGAATAAGAAACACTTAATCACTTCATTTTTATATTGGCATGACCATGACATTATCTTGCTTCACTATCAAACAAAAACAACCAACCAATGTTTTTCTTTATTTAAAGGTAAAATACCTTTTGATCCCCCATGTTTAGAAATATAAGTAGCGGATTTTCCCTTTGTTGAACCTGAAAACGTATCAATTTAAAAAAAAAAGTTAGCAAATTTAATTGCCTACTTAACTTGTTTTTTGCAAGGACCCGGATGGATGGATATTCTGTCATATAACTTGTGGCAAACCTACAATTTCCCATTGGTTAACATGGGGATGTCGATATTCAAAAATTTATCATCAATTTTCGACCTATTGTAATTGAGTAAACAATTAAGGAAATATGGATGTATTGGAAATAAAGTCAAATTACGTTTCCATCAATAGTATAAGTATTTCCATCGCAGGTTAAGTTAATACAAATTCTAAGGTAAAGATGCCTTAACACGTAGTCTAATGAGGGAGCTAAGGTTGCCAAACTTATGAAGGGAAGCTTAACACTCCTTAAACCATTACTCCTATACCATAGCATAGGGTCATCTATTTCCATGATACAAATTGACTCAACCTTACGAGCATCATGCTCGATGGATAGATTTTTCATGTCTACATGTACATAATTTTGTTATAATCTGTATATTTATTTTATATTTCTGTACATATAAGTTGTATCTCCATTTAATGATGGGCAATAACAATATACAATACCATACATAAGGTATTAACTGTGCAACATTTCACTGTGGAATGTTCCCTTTTCATCGAGAGGATATTGTGATTCTGATATATTATACCAAGAAAGGATACAAAGTAAATCAATGTAAACATTTCTCGAGTGTTTTTGTATCAACACAAATTAGCATTTTGCTATAATTTGCAATAAACATTTTTATATCCAGAAAACAGCAATATATTGCAAAGGAAATACCTCCGTCCCAAATGAATTGGTGATCCAAAAATTTGTCTTCAGATGATTTAATTTTAAAAGCTATAAATCAAAAGTTTTATTGCAATTTATTTCAAAAATGTTAAAATCGAATGCACTGACTTTAGTGGTTAACGTTTCATAGAACTTGTACGTTAATATGTAATATTTGCCTCAAATTGTTCCCCCCCCTTGGAAACCTAATTACACGTATTCCCATCGCATTCATATTCAATCAGGCAAACAAGGCCACTGATGTGAAAATAGCTGATAGGGGACGACAATCTCACACGCATGCGCCCTTCAAAAGAATATTCATTTTACTTCCTTATTACAAACCTGTTAATTTCCATCTCAAATAATATCTCTGTTGTTAAGGCTACAAAACATCATCATTTATCCGTTCAATAAATCTATGTGAATACCAGTGTCAAAGAAACGTATCGTAAAACATCGATTAATGATAAAAATAACCAACAAGCCTTGAAAATCGAACCAAAGCTGAAACCTAGGATTTAATTCTACCCTTACTATATTAATTAATTTCGCATTATCTCCATGCAAATTCTCTACACCTTTCTTCATTTCCTCAAGAATTTTTCCTGAAATTAATGTTTCTGGTGAATGTTTCTGTGATTTATGATAAGCACAGCAGAAAGAGACAATATAGCAAAGTTGCTCCACGACCGGCTCCTCCAATGATACAACCATCACTGGTTGGCATGGTAATATTGTTCAATTTGTTATTAAGCTTCTCCACATATTCATTCCAGAATTTCACCTTCCTATACCTATGGTACCTAGCTTCATATGATTCATTGGCGATGGTTAGATATTTCTCCTCTGTATGGGAAAACTCTGGCCACGATACTGTCATTTTAGGAACCTTTTCTGGGATGTTCGGATTTCTGAAACAACAATTATTGCACATCTACATTCGCTTTTGAAACAGTTAGAAACATGAAACATTGTTGGAACTGAACTCAAATCATAAAAACAGCGTCTTTTATTGTCATTGCAGAGTCGGGTGGGCGAGTTCTTGCCGTTTGATATTACTAGCTTTAATACTAATTCTTTGTAAAGCCTAAACATACCCTGTTTTCATGAAGTTGGCCCATTGTGTCATCATCATTCTACTAATCTCTTTGTCCTGCTTGGTCCATACCTGTTTTACCCAGCGTATAGTGTTGCAGCCCCATGGACATGTTTCATTTGTAAAGAATGGTATACCGAATATATAGTCAAGTTCTGCTCCGTGTATTACACCTGCAATTTAACATCTATGAAGCCTCTACGGACACGGTGACTATCAAAGCCCCGTATATCGCGAGCACGTTCCCGCTGACAACGGGAGCAATAGTCTCATGTTAGAAGCGGGGCCTTGAGAGAAATGACAGAGTTTAGTTATAGTTGAAGATCGTCGATGCCCTGCCGTTGAAATTGCTATTGTAATATGAAATAAAGTTGTACTGAATTTCACTTACTAACTTTTCATAAAAAAATTATATTTCAATCTTATCATATCTCTCAAGGTCCCGCTTCTAACATGAGCTAGCTAATTGTTTGCGATGTCAGTGGGGTCTGGATAGTCTCCGTGATGAAACGATTGACTTTTATGCAATTTAACTAGTGGGTAGAATTATTGAAGGCTTAAACATGTATTGTACTCCTTTGTGGATATGTCGAGTAATTGAAGAGCCATATCAATTACACAAATCATCCAAAAAGCGATTTTCCATGATCTAGATTAATAAATTTATAGATCCTTGTTCGTTTTTGCCGCCTTACCTTTCTCTACTGGCTCGGGGCTGTTGATAGATCTATGTATAAAGTTGTAGAAATATGTATTGCTGACTTGTGCTGAGTGGCCAGTCGCATGATATATCGCAGGAGCAGTGTACGAATGATCTGTTTGGAACTAAAATTGAAATGTATAATGTGCAATAACGTTTTACTACAATTGTACCCGTCCATTAACCTAACTAAAAAGTTTTGTCCATAATGAACTAGTTTCCTCGTAGCAGGTTGATATTCTTCCCTACCTGATATAAAAACCTAAAATCAGCTTCCCTCCAAAGTTCTGGTAAACCACACCTCCCCTATCGAACCACATGTTCATCCTGTTTACCCTTTACGATTTCTTAAAATATCATCACAATCAATCGTTTTCCGACCTATTTATTGTCATTAGGGATGACATTTTAAAGCAGGCCTTAGTATACTATCCATTTAAAGCTCAGAGTCACTAGTATTTGTTGAGTCAATAAATAATCAAAATATCTATTGTGCCATTTATTGTCTGAGTAACATGTCAAGATAAAAGACACGGTCAGTTTCCCATAAATTATTGTAATCGTTGGCTAACACAGTGAGCTTATGGGATATACCAGGCGTCCGTCCATCCGTTGGTCCGTCCGTCCGTCAACATTGGCCGCACAAATTAAAACTGCTATTCGGAATGAGTCATATCCACATTCATTTTATGCATATCCATAATGCCTATTTGCCCTATCATCGCCATTTCCCAAGTTCGTCCGGTTTCCGAGAAATTGTCAAAAAGTCAAATTTTCTGTAAATACTAGACACTCTGTTGAAGTAGAACTTTCAAATAACTTGTAGTAGTTGCTGTATATGCAACTTATGTTCTCTGAAGATTTCAAAGCTCTTGAAATTACAGTTTTTGGTGTTAACTCTATAAAATTTGACAAAAAGTAGGACTTTGTCATTTTCAGGGAACTTTCTAACGTATAAAGTCAATCATCATTGGCTGTGCAAAACACTGTGTGAGCAAAGGACCGTGGGTCCTTTATTTTTAATATTTACCTCGACATATATATTCCGGTTTCTATCTACATTTCCATAAGGATCAGGATTGTATTCCTGGGCAAATGCATCAAACATGAAACCTTGCTTTTCATCCCATCTATTACTGTAACCGTTGAACAGTGACAGCAGGAAGTCTCTCGAATAACCTTCTGCTGGTGCTACTACGTAATCTACGAGAGAACAAAAGTGAATAGTAGTGACTGTGTAAATTGTTGATCATCTAAGCTGGGTAGCCAAATCAAGAAATTAATTGTTGTCGCGCTAATTTGGCATTATTCATCTTAAAACGTTCTTTATTTCTGCAATTTTATCAATTTTAACACTTAGTATATACCTAACTCGTAAGAAGCATCGTCCTTGTTCACGCCAGTCAGCATTGGAACATTCAAGAACTCCCCTCTCGTAATAAGATCCTCTGGGTCTTCAAGAATATAGTAGCCATCGATGACGGGCCCCCATAATGGTCCGAACAGAGGGTACTAAAATGAAGTGGCTTCCTCGGTGTAGATCACATTACATGATCATGAAATCATCATATTGAAATACATCCATGTTGTTCTTGCAATTTAAATAACACTTAGTCATTTTGTGCATAATTATTTTGTAAAAAGTTTAACTTAATTCTATTTGTACGTGAGCTTTCGCTTTTATAAAAATGAACTCGTTTGGAGTAAACACAATGACAGATATAACTTATTTTAAAATACAGATACCCTTTACCGTAACATCATTATTGCCTCGTTCAACAAGCTCAGAGGCTGATTTTCCACGCATACAACTAATCAATTCTTTTGAGGAGGTCTGATTACATCCAACAAGTCGACCAAGCTCAAAAGCATATGAACGAGCAGTTTGTCGATCTCTTTTAATCGCCCAGTAACTGTTAGCCTGTCCACTTTGAGCAATAACAGCGTGGAAAAGTCCTAGAAAACAATGTAACATATACAGAAGGACGGCACAACAGGGATCACAACTGTTTTTCAATTATTAAATTAAAGCATGCTTTTAATTATTTTGTGTCATTAACTGTACCTCTCGTTAATGGAGAAAATAGATGCATTGTTGCAGACACTGCTCCTGAACTTTCTCCCCCGATAGTTATATTGTCCGGGTTCCCTCTAAAATTTATTATGTTTTCTTGGACCCACTCCAGTGCTCTGACTTGGTCCAACTGTCCGTAATTTCCTTTTGCCTCGACATCATCTGTTGCTAAGTAACCTGAATAAATAAAGGAAACGGAAAATGTACATGAGGATCCAAATGATGTTGAACGTCTATGTACAGGACAACTGATTACCCAAGATAAAGATCCTACAGCCTAGAGTTATGACAGTATATTTATGCTTAACGGGATTGGCCACGCACAAGAAGAATTCATAGTTACCCAAGACGCCGACCCTATAGCTTATAGTGACGACTACTACATCTTTCTCAACTGCCAGCACTCGGCCATCATATTCCTCGGCAGCTCCAGTAGAAAAGTATCCGCCATAGATCCATACAAACACTGGGTATCTGACTAAAGGGTCACCACCCTGAATAAACCATTTTTGCACGTATTCATAAATACATCCGGATATTACTTACGCTGTAGCAAGAATATTCCCGTTTTAATTTGAACATTAATTTTAAAGTAATATTAGAAGTTACACTCCAGTTTGACAATCGGAAGTTTTAATTCAGACGAGACGGGAGTTTTCCTTCGGACAAAAACGTTCAAATGCTACTTCAAATGCGACCTACTTTCAATTGATAAGACAGACAACTTTAACGCATGAAAAGTAGTAGCAAACTATTCAGTAGTGGACTTTTCCCGATTAACGAATATTTGACTGGGAATTTAAGTTGTTTATTTGTCTACCTACCTTGGGCGAGTAGATATTAAGATATAAACAGTCTTCGTTAGTATTACTCCAATCGGAGCCAAAGCTCCAGCTAAAATTGAAGTACATAAAATGTGGATATGTTGTACATGGTGCACATAAGTCTCTTTACAATTACAATGCATCAGTATATCATTAGTATTACTCCAATCACAGTCAAACCTCCAGCTAAAATAGAAGTACACAAAATATGGAATATGATGCACATGGTGCACGAACATCTCTTTACAATTACAATACATACGTCTGACTGAATTGAAGAGGCTTTTTGGCACTCTGTAGATTGGGAGCAGTGGACGGTAACCAGCGCACAAATTGAATTGTACTCATTATGTATATCGTGATAGAACTTGTTTTATCATAAAAAATTAAACGTTTTTCTCGTACATTCCCAGAGTGAAATTACGATTTCTTCAACATATGATGTCAAATCGTGACTGATTTTTTGTGGACAATTTAATAGGAATAATTACACCAAAAGTAGTGCGAAAATGGCCTTTTTACGTGTTGGAATAACGTTTGGATGACATTTAAAGACAAAGTTCCTCTTTCAAGTATATTATCTCATGGAAATGGGCATAGAGTGCAAAGATCTTTGTTCCGTGGTAAAGAAAAGCTTTTAAACATCTGAAGAGCAGATTTATCTCCGTAATTTTACTTTTAGCATGGCGACCTTGACCTTGAAAAATATAGCCATTTGGACGATAATAGGTGATTCAAAAGTGAAAATGAGTACTTTTTCGTAGTTTTACTTTGACCAAGTCTATAAAAAATCGAAGTGGTAAACCTACCCCCAATTGTTGACATTTTTATTGTCTAGAAGTGTCCTACATGATATCAAAGCTTAAGAAAATTTGTATGTCTAGAAATATTTTATAAATTCGTGCCATTATGGTGGGTTTGGGTGCTTTTTTGCTCTCATTTTTACCCCATTTCTACGGTTGGCATGGCAACTATAAGGCTTTGGAACCATGCCAACTTGATTTTTGAAGGACATCCACCTAATAGTAGTTGGGCCAAGTTTGATGGAAAATGGGCCTGGTTTGATATGCTGGCACTGAGGTTGATTGTGGCAAGTAGTAAACGGCAAAACAATGGGGTAGTCATACCAATACTATTTCCAAAACATTTTTGTGTCAACTATACTGAAGATAATGTGAGCAGTAAATGTGATATAATGAAGCGATTTTACAAACTATACATGACTTCTAGGATAAATCGTTATTGTGAAATGTATATATCTTACCTTCTTACACTATAAAGAGACTGCGGACAAGCAGGTTTGAAAGAAAGTGTATCCAATATCCCTGGTCCCCATGGTTTTGGTGGCTGTGGGTTAGACCAGCGAAGGTTACCTATTGGAGGTGCAGCATATGGAATACCAGTGTAGACCTCCAACGTTTTATTTGCATAAGTAGTAGATATACTATGTCCCCTCATTCTACCGTATCGTGTGTTAGAAACTACCTGTTTCCCTAAGGCACTGTTTATTCCTTCTACCAACGCCAAAAGGACGATAAAATGGACGATCAACGATATATTCATATTCATTTTATAATAATCTCATACGATGTCTTCAGTATCACTCTCAGCTGCTTGTTGGATGCCAAACTCATATCATAATTTTATTCCAATATACTTACCACTATACATTAATATCTACATAAAAAATACTTAACTTCTCAATCAAAAATAAAGTATATCAGATTTAAAGGTTTATTAACGGGTTATGTAGAGATAGTCACAGTTGTTTACCTTATATGAATCCAACTATATTACATAACGTGTCAATGGTTGGTTTGTAAATATCTGATGAAAGCTGGCAGTGTTAAAACGACATATCTAATTATTTTGGCATGTTTACTTACTTTAAAAAAGTTTGATAGCTATAGTTGGGTTCGAATAAATTGTTTATATAGACAATTATACCTTAAGGTACATTAAGGTACTACATTAAAGCGTTTTACAAATGCATCTAACTCTAGTATCTTGTCATTGGGAATTAAATTGCTGAAACACTTTTTAGCTGGAAACCCCTTTAAAATGATACAAAAGGGTATTTGACAATTCTGTAACATAAAAACAAATTGGTGATTTCATGTCCCATTTTCCCTGTTTGTGCGCTAAATTAAAGTCCAGATATTTGCAATATTATTTATATGTAACATCGGGCTAATGTCTTGGGTGGCGGATAAAGATTAATCACAATAGGAATGTAAAATATAATAAAATCTATTCAAACTTTCTTGTAAACATCACTCTACCCTCCCTTGGTCGCGCATGTGCGAGACTTCTGCACTGGCTTCAACAGAGGCTTCCAAAAGAAGTGAGTAGCTCCCATAATTCTTTCATATTCTATCATATTCGAGGATTCCCCGTTTGAGATTTCAAATCAAATTGCAGGGTGTGAACATTCATGAGCATGTGCTTTCTCAGTGCCGCGCATGCGCAAATTAAGTTTAGAATCGTTGAAATGGCGTTTATTTCAGTCTTCGCGATGATTTCATTTTTAAAGCAGACATTTTAAATCACGTGATATGACGTGTGTGGTTGAAACAACTGACCATGAAATACGATTTTGTAAATGAAAGCGAAACCCAGGCTTCCAGAAACGAGATATTCGATCTTATGTCGAGCCAATTATTGCATGACTGAGGCTATTCTCATCAATATTGCGAAGGGTATAATATCAATTACAATTGAGTGCGGAATCATCGAGTTGACACGCTATTGAGAGCATGGAAGTTATATATCAGCAAACATTGCCAGTGTCTGGAGAATACATTTTTTAACCCGAATGTAATGTTGTAAGGCCAAAAATATAATTATTAGGCATTTTTAGTTATCGATATACGGTCTCACAAATGCCATTTCAATCAATTCCTTATTTATTTTATTATTGGAATGCGCGCGAATGTGAAACTATTGTATTTTTATTGGTTCAGCCAGTGTGTAGTAGTAATTGCAAAAATAACGTTTCATGTTAGCGTCGGAATAACTTTGCACACGGTACGTCAAAACTGTCATGGTCAGGTGTCTAAAAAGCTTCCTGGTCATCTCAACCCCAAGTCATCTCAACCCAGTCCAACTCAACCCCAAGTCAACTCAACCCAAGTCAAGTCGACCCCTGTAAAACTCAACCCCAAGTCAACTCAACCCTGTAAAACTCAACCCCAGTAAAACTCAACCCCTATATTTCTATATATTGATGAACTTATACGAAAGTTTATTTCATTAAAATAATTCTGCCGATCGTGGCATAAGCGAGCCAAAAAAATATATGTTTTGACAAAAAATGATGCAACTTCCTTCAAAATTGGGGGAGGGTGTGTGCGCACCCCTCCTGGCTACGTCTATATGCTTTCCGTCTATTAATTAGTAAATGTTAATGTTTTTGTTAAAGCATGTTCATATAAATAAAAAGTTATATGACATTTGTTGATTATTTCTAATTTATCTAAAATTTGATTTCAAAAGATGTCTTAAATTAATTAATAGTTAATTAATCGTTTTCTTTTGGAATACTTTTACAACTTTCTATTCAAAGGATCATGCAAAATGCTAGATTTTCAGAAATCAATGACTTAAATTATTCATCATAAAAAAATTAAATTAGACATTGCACAAATGAATAGGGTTGAGTTTTACTGGGGTTGAGTTTTACAGGGTTGAGTTGACTTGGGGTTGAGTTTTACTGGGGTTGACTTGACTTGGGGTTGACTTGACTTGGGGTTGAGTTGGACTGGGTTGAGATGACTTGGGGTTGAGATGACCTGTCACCTCTAAAGCAGTGCGCAAAAATAACAAGATTTCAGAAGTTGACAGTCAATTGTGTTTTGTGGGGAAATATCACAAGCTTTGTAGTCAGAATAACAAAACGGATGTTATTTATGCTAAATACAAGAAAATGCCTCACTTAGGGGTACCGCGAGCGCTCGAGCGCTCGAGCAATTCACCTCCGATACGAGCTGTATCGAAACATAAAATGAATATCGGTCGTATCGTTTTTTGACCGGAAGTCCCTTCTTACTTACCCAAAGGGAGGGAAAAACTCAGCGCTTAGAGATGACAGACAGTCATAGTTATGTATCTTGCTTGCCGCCTTCGTTTGCCCCGATAGTTCCCGAATACCACACGTCGTTTAGATGTTTTAATCGATGTTAGCATATTTTACAACTTTCTTTGTCGTGATGTGAAATAAACGTAATCTGGCTAAAATACTTCCGGCTTTACAAGTTTGAAAAATTAGAATAAATTTAAGTTTTACTTCAATTTACGCTGTATCATTGTATCGTATCGTTCGTATCGTATTGCGAGGTCAGTATCGTAGATACGTATCGATATTAAATTTATCGTATCGTGGTACCCCTAGCCTCACTACATCATACCACACTATGACACATTACATCACATAACAATAGATGAAAACAATTACTGTCATTGAGTGTAACCCCGCACCTTTTCATTTTAAAAGACAAAGCTGCACCACATAACTTATTTTTCACAGTTTAGTTGAGTGAATATTATAAGAAATGTGCTTTTAGGCAATTGCCTCGCCTCTTTCGTTGTTGCTTACGGCCATTAATTAAACGGGAATGACATTCCCGAAGAAAGATCTGCCGTTATTAATAACACAACATTTTAAAACAACACAAGAAGCTATTTCATTGCAACGTTTACTTATTTATTTCAGTCAATATGGGATACAATTCTTATTTCATGCTCCTGAACTGACTAATTGCTGGATGTTAAGCACATGGCTTCGTGTTGCAGACTCGATCTTCAACAAACAACATTTCGCCATCTGTGGTTTTGAAGTTATAACCAGGGCACTCACCATTCTCAACAGGCATAGGATTTGTGCACGCTTTCACCCTGGACTTGATTCCGGTATCGCATGATACTGAACATGGCGAGAAACCACTGAACTCGCCCCACCCTCCAGGGGAAGAAATGATATCAGTGATCCAATTTAAGTAGTTAGATACCTTGGTAAATATTTCAGGACCATTCCCACAAGACGATGGCCCCCAGCTTTCCCATACTGATACCAGTGTAAATAATCACGGTACATAAAAGGCCCCCCAAAATCACCTGGGCATAAGCTAGTAATTATCCAACTGTCGCCGATTGCACAAAACATATTATTTGTCACTGTTTTATTCATAAATGGAGTAATTGAACAAGTTTTCTGAAATTTATTGGGAGCTCCAAATAAAACGGCCGAATCGGTATGCCTTGAGTCCCATCCTATAACTTTTTTAAACATTTTTTGGAACTTTTTAATTTTAACATTTTCAGCAGTTGGAAGCCTAATTGGATGCGTATGTTTATTGAACTTGATAGGTGAATCAAGGGTAATAATGGCAATGTCATTATCCAAGGTTTTGACATTAAAATCTTCATGAATAGTGACTGTTTTAATTGCTCGAATTTGTTCAAGAGGGGCTTCACTTTTACTGAGATTGTGTTTACCAGTTTTAACTCCCATATTGTCTCTAATATCAGGCATAAGCATTTTTGAACCAGATTTTGCAAAGAAGCAATTAGCAGCTGTGAGGATATGACTTTGACTAAGAATTGTTCCACTGCAATGAGTTTTGTTATCATAAGCAATATGGGCTATCCAACCATATCTAAATTTAGGCTTCACTTCGTTCCCAGGTAACATTGATCCGCTGTATGTCAAAGGAACCCCGGGTTCAGGACATTGAGCAGGAGGGTGGGGTAAACAAAACGTGACGTTCAGTTCAGCATTACGTTGTGATACTAAGTCGTTCTTTGCATTTCGACATTTCCTTATCTGGGCCCTTTTACCACAAATTGCAAGGCCATATGATAGTGGGCACGGGGAGAAATCAGAAAATTCACCTATAATAAATACAAAATAATACATAAAAATGCCTAAATCTATGATAAATTATAACGTGTTTTGACAATACATTTCCAGAAACAACTTTCGACTTCTCAAAGCTTAGATATGCCGCTTTATTCCATGATGGTGAAATTCCCTGCAATCTGATTGGTGCACGTGACTTAAATATATCCTGTCTTTACACGCACATTCCACTAAGCGTTGGATACAGAGTGAAAAAGACGTCAGCGTTGGGATACGGTCTAGTATCCCAACGCCCCAGATTTCCATCCAGGATATGACTATAACTTAAAAAATCAATGGTGATCAGTTTACACCAACGCATGCTAATATTTGCATTTTGCTAGAAATATCTGATTTGAATACCAGGAAATGATACGGTGATCATCACAATTAATAATTTTAGGATAAAAACACACATCTGTGAATATAAAAAGATCAATATGAAGCATGCACATTGTTTTCATAAACTAGTAAAAAAATTTGAAATCTAATATGGCAGACGAAAGTCGAAAAAACGTTTCGCTACACTGCACTTCCAGCTGATGGAAGCTGATGGATGCTAGCGCATCGTGAAATACAATCTTCTCGGGAAGAATATTTTCTGTATTTCACTCGAATCATTGAATAACTTATAGTACCCGTCGATGACCAATTTTATATACTGGAAGCGTTGTCATTAGAAGATCTTAGAATTCACTGTCCTTTTCTGCATATAAAGTTTGGATAGCGAAAATGAAATTGTACAACTATAGAATTGATAATGTACAACTAAATTAAACAGTGCTAAGCGTAGTTCTCACGATTTCAAACTTTGCTAAATGCTATATTGCTCGTATCTGCGTTTGTTCATGTCATCATATCCAGCTGTATGGTGTATTGACTGATAAGCACAAAGCGCATGAACGAATTATCTCATCACTTGCAAATAATTGCATCGCATATATAATCTGATTTGATCATTGTTGAATATCAGCATTTGATATCGTGCAGATTGTTCTTTATATCACTTCGCCTAGTCCCACCTGAATACCACACATCACATGCAATTGTCTTGGGCACAATTGCAAAGATCTACCAATTAGCTAGCCACTTATAAGTCCTTGTCATATGTTAATATGCCCTTAAATATGTGTTAGATCGAGTGTCAATGTAGTGGACACCCTGTATATTTGAGTAAAATTGCTTTTGATATCCTGATCTAAATCACGGGCTTATTTAATAACTGGGCCTTAGTATGTGTACCAAACGAAACGACACGACCTCCGAGGCTTTGCATGCCCTCATTACAAATAATATCATCAGCAAATCGTAGAAATATAAGATGGATCGCTTCATATTATGCGAGAACTAAAATAACTTGCCTTGTTGCCAGGCCTATGTTTCTTTATTTCATTGGTGATGCATTTGAGTGAACGTGATAAGGCTACCATTGCAAACTGTTTCAAGGAGAATGGAGGAGGTAGAATAATTGCGAAGGCATTTTCAAACAAGGAGGTGGGTCTTGAATCAGACTAAACAAAAGACACTGCACTGAACATGCATGAAGGGATGGGATAGTTATATCATGGGCGGCGACATCATTGCAAGAAATACTTCGTAAATGATTTGATAATTTAACAATTAAAGAATTTGTGACAAGTCGTCAATATACAAATAACCTTATTCCAATTATAAAGAGCAATATCGTGACATTTTAGAGCAAGGGCCGAAGGCCAAAGGTCCACGAAACGGTATGTTCATTTCTTGTCGCGGATTACTGGACAACGACACTTTTACTTTTTGGAGCAGCTTATAGGGATTAACTCCAACTCTTATTCTAATTCCATACGATTCATCTCCCACCCGATCCTTTCACCTGAAACAGGTTTCAATAGTGACCTTATCGCTTTCACTGAAAGGCTTCATTAATCCTTCTAGACTGAAATTATGAACAGGAAGGATATGACAGATGCAAATAACATACCACATGTGTTTGCGCAAGCTGAGTCATCGCATTGTGAGAAGTTTTGGGAAACACACGTACAAACTGAACAACCATCAGGATCCTTCCACTTTCCTTCATATTTTCTATGAATATTTCCTGAGCTGTCGTAGCATGGGAAATCTTTACAGCACATGCTGTACCGACGGCGAGGCTCACCAACACATACATATCCATTCTCGCATGACTTCGATCCCAAGCCCTTGCATCTATACGGAACACCGGTCGTTTTATTAACTTCAGGCTGGCAATCTCTTGGAAAGTCCTTGTGTTTACAACAGTTCCCTGTCTTTTTATTGCAATTATAGGTGTTCGGGCAGATACTGCGGTTAGTGCGAGAACATGTCATGCCAGGATACTTATCACATTTTCTCGATTTCGGTTTCCCTTCTATTGATGGAGCAAGTATCAAAGTGAACAAAAAGTAAAATACCGCCATCCAAGCAACCCTCATCCTCGTAGCAATTTTAATATAGGGAAAGTCAACATATATTAATTATATTAACATAAATGCATTGATGTATCAAGATAATGCCTTATGTTAAAAGCGTGGGTAGCGTCATTAATTCATATACTCCCCTTCATAAGTTTGGCAAACTTTTCACTTTTCTTCCGTCACTTAATTTTAGTTCGAAAATTTACGACTTTAAAATTTTAGTTCAAAGAAATACGACATTGATGATTTAAAGTCGTATATCTTCGAACTAAAATGAAGTGACGGAAGAAAAATTAAAGTGAAAGGAATGTATTGAATATTACGATTTTTTCAATAAAGTTAGAATGTCAACTAGCAGTCTTGAATAATGGGCCACGATATAGGATACTCTTTACCCATTTAGAATAAGTCGGGATATCAGTGACCCGATTCCCATTTTTCAAAAAATTTAAAATTATCATTTTTGGCTTCACTTGGATATTTTTCTCAACTTTCCAAAGAAACCAGCGTCCACACCCGATCTGATAACCTGAATATGATGTAAATGGCGAATACCTAAAATAGACTCGGATTCACTTTGAAAACTGAGAGTTAACCTGAACTAATACTATTTTCATTTTAAGTTCGTGGCCAAATCTGTGAAGGGCCTCTCAAGGTCGATCTGTATTGGCGACACTTGGGCTTTCAGGAAATAGTTATTTCATACTTGTCGAAATATAGGTCCTACCCAAAATGTCGCCAAAACATATTACCTACCTTTGTTGATCTATATTGGCAGAACTAGGACATTGTTCATGTTTCGTAATCTCTAAATATTAAGATCCTATGGCATCATCTAAAAATGAGTCTCAAAGTGCAGATATGAAGCCAAAACGTATAAATTCATTAGAACTAGTACTGAAAGGATCTACTTTTAAAATTATTGCTAGGATAATGTCAGATCGTTCAGACTCTATGAAGAGAAAATGTTGCACAAACAATAAACTTGTTTGAATAGCTGTATATGATAGGATGTTTCAATGAAGATAAAAAACATGAAATGCCAACAGTAGACTTCTATTAAAGTCAGAATCTGGGGGGATTACAAGCAACATGTTCAATTGACTTACCAATCTATTCCAAACAATTTAAAATTCAATATCCCCCAAACGACCCGCGATATATGATAAACTGGATAAGTTATTAAGGATTCAAAGTGCAAAAATGGGGGAGGGGTGTTTAAAATTCTGAAAATTCCCCGTTAACCTCAATTATCAAAAAATAATAAATCATCTTAAAAATCTTTAGTTTTCTGAAATAAAGCTTGCACTTTAGGATTATTCAGAAAACAGACATTGCAAGGCCAATGAAAGAGGATTCGTCAAATAATTTTCCATGCTCTGATTCAGGAAAAAATAAACAAGATACTTTTAGAAGTAACAACATTTTCGTTTAGAGATAAAGAAAAGTAATTTGAAAGAAAATTATCACTAACAGTTGAGTTCAACCACTTAATTATTGTACGAACTGTGAGCATTCTCTAATATATGAGCCAGGCCATAGGAAAAGGGGTCTTATCACAATTTTTTTCAAATGAGCCATGACTTATGTCTTAACAATTTTCCTTGCATATACCAAAAAGTCTGATTTGAATTTAGCACATTTTCTTCTTAATCCTGAGCGCATTTTTGGCTCTGTAGCACAATTCAAATTTTTGTGATAAGACCGGTTTTCCTATGGCCAGGCTCATAAAGTCCCATGTCTAGTATTTTATTCAAAAGGACATCTGTGAAAACTCCCAGATACATACTTTGAACATATCCGAATATTGGAGGACTATTTAAAAGTGTCCGAAATAAATGGAAACGATGGAATACATTTCCCCAAAATGAATCCTATTGCTTTGAGAAAGTTCTATATTCGATACTTAGATGTCACTTAAAACAAATTTAAACAGGAAATCGTCTTTCCCAATGGTCATAGATGTCACTTAAAGTGGATATGAATAGTTACTTTTATAGAAATAAAAATGATCTCAGCTCATATTCAAAATTTAAAATCAAAATATTCATATTTATATTGTTATTAAGTATCTATTTCATCAAAGTCTGTTAAATACCCGAGGCTCTAACTCTAGAAACGAAAACAGCCTTCTATTTGCACAAAAAATAGATTCTAAACATCTTCACGAACAGTATTATCTGATCCTATAATGAGATTTGTATCAACGTCTATTAAATGGAAGCATCTTAATCAAGTTTAGAATTCCTTTTCAAAATGGTCTCTGTGATTTGATAGAGAAATTAATCTAATATTTTCTATTACCTTTTTATTCATAGAAAACATTTGAAGGCAGTTACATCAACATATACAATATTCATAATATCATTGAAATCACACAAAATATCCATCATATTGTTTTTTAAGGCATCTAACCACACTAGTCTAATCTAATCTAGTACCCATAATTTCCCACCTTTTTTGTCTGCCTATTTGCTTTTCAATATTACAATAAGATATTACATTCGCTTTAAATCATTAATCTAATATTATCAAGCACTTCGAATAGTATTTATTTGAAACATGTACATAATTGGGATTATTTGTCAATGATAAACTTGACTTGTGGAATTACATCGATCACTCCAAAAGGAAAGTCTAAAGTAAACACTTAACGTTACACAGAGTCAATACATGAATATACTTGGGGTACAATTATCTTATTTCCCCTCTAAAAATCACACCTCTTTATAGATATTGATAGTATTATCCCGGAAACTTATGGAGGAAGTATTGCTTTAATGTATAGTAAAATGACACATTTAATTAATGTGAAGCGATATTTACCAAAAATACGTCTAGAATCGTCTCCATGCCATATCTATTTTTAGTATCATAAACTTCTAACAATCATGTATACTTTAACAAAGGAAAAACGTATACCCACAAATCTAGTATATATGATGAGCTTAAATGGTTTGCTTATGAGATCTAATATATGAGGGTGGTTCTATGAAATTAATACGAATACAAATGGTCCCATTTCTCTTTATATCGATATGTAGGCAAAATAATTTGAAAAATATATTTGTGCATGTCAAAAGTAAATAATTTTATATGATTTAACCGATAATAATGATAATTTGATATTATTCATTGACTTCAAGGTTAAAATGTTCCAAAATAAAATGAATTGACGCCCTTCTTATCAATTATAACCTTGTAAATTTTATTTTATTTGAATAAGGCATATCTTAATAATTACCTCAGATAGGACGGTTTTTGATTTGAAGGAGCTAGTAAGAAGTTACAAGTTCCACTACCAGATTGCTAATTCAGGTCAAATAACAAAATAGGCTTACATAGATAGAGATTATCCTGTCGGTTCAGGATATTGGGATTATCCCGAGGCCAATATAATATATCTGCCCGTGTTGGTCCACACCGCGCACACATAAATCAGCATCGCGTGTTAGCTCACATGGTGAGCTTTTGCAATCACTCACTTGTCCGTCTGTCTGTCCGTCCGTCTGTCAACAATAGTGGCACGTTTTAAAACCTCTGTCGATAGGATTCCTGTTTTAAGTTATTTCTGTTCAACATCAATACAGAAAACTCTCCTATAACTCCTGGTTCAAAAGCTCGCCTATTTTCAAAATGGCCGCCATTTTTGTCTCACGAAATTCACTTTTGACCCATTTCCTAGCTTTACAAATAATTCCAAGTGTCATACATTGTAAGAATCCATGTCAATGTAAAGAGTAGATATATGAAACAATTTTGATACAAAAAATCAGTGAAACATTATATCCATTTTTTTATTTTCAGCCATTTTAGTTAACATTGATTTGTCCATCTGAATCGCGAAATCCACTTTTCCGTCAACGACAGTGACACGTTTTAAAACCCCTGTCGATAGGATTTCTGTTTTAAGGTATATCAATACAGAAAATTCCCTTATGACTCCTGGTTCAAAAGCTCGCCTATTTTCAAAATGGCCGCCATTTTTCTCTCGCGAAATTCACTTTTTACCCATTTCATAGCTTTACAAATAATTTCAGGTGTCCTACATTGTAAAAATCCATGTCAATGTAAAGAGTAGAGATGTATGAAGTAATTTCTGTCTTTCAGTCAGTCCAAATAGTGGCAAGTGGCTTGAATGATAATTTTGTTACAAAAAATCAGCAAAAAATTATATCGTTTTTTTATTTTCTGTCATTTTAGCCATCTTTCACTTTGAGCAACACCATGTGAGCCCAGTACCCACGGTACTATTTCATTTTCGTATAGCACAGTCTGCATAGCTAGGGCGATATAGACTTAATATCACCATCATATAAAGATTGACTGTGAGGTGTTCTCATACATTAAAACATATTCTGACTGAACAATTTGCTAATGCTCAATAATGAATGCATACAGTAGTACTAATTACATAACATGATATGCGATAAGTCGATCGGCTGATATACAGCTTTATAATGAGAGAATGCATTAATTTGTTATAGATCACAAAATAAAAATCGAATGCTGTTTTTTCTCAATAGAGTCGTAACAAAAACCACGATGCATGGTATAGGAAGAGCATTTTACATTTTGGTTTAACAGTTTTTGATATATTTTTTTGATAAATTGACTATTTGAAACATTGAAAAAGTCCGATTATGATCGTAAACAATGTCATATGTGGTAACTTTTGAGAGATTGCGAGGGCTGATGCGTGGGAGACAGGGAAACGGATGATGAGAGACAGGTATGACTTTAATCACGGGATAGAGGTCGTTGTGGCTTCAGTTCTGACTGTACCATATTAAAACCGGCTGGATGTAAACATTGAATTGTACGACTCTTCACTCGACTTATCATCACAGAGATAGCATACATTTTCATTTCTGACTAAAGTCCGTGTTGAAAATTGTAATTAATTGGCATCGTGATTTCGTCAATTAGCTACGTGAAGATGGAGCGATTGATGAAGGTTCTTTCCCATTGAGTTCGACTGATTAGTCAGAAACACATGTCTTCGGGATGGAACTCTGACGGAGGTGGTACTTTATTATGTACAATCATTGTTTTCACAAAGCACCAGTCTGAGAGAAAATCAATGGGATAGGTCGCATATACACTGGTGATCCGCTCGATATAGTATTGACAGGCACCATGCAAACTAAGTAAAGAACAAGTTAAAGGGCCTGTATGGAGAAAGGTTTGGACTGTCGCTTTAATAAATGATGGCAAGATTTCATCCGAAACGGTTAGCGGCATCAATTTTTGTGATTGTTGGATTGACTTCTATGTATAAGTTTATTATACTTCGACCACCGTTAGATATTCAACCGACACAGAAACTGTTACTTGACACCATAAAAACGACTTCGCTAGCTTTAGACAATAGTGTACATTTAAAACATTCATTTGAACCTCGTCAAACAAATCAAACAGTTACCCAACATAAACAGAGTGCAGCAGTACACGTAAACAAAACTGAGACAAGGAACGATAGAAATTTTGGATTAAATCCAATCAAAGTCCACGAGGATGTTCACATGGACGCAATTAAAGTCCGCTTTGACAGTAAGACTGGTTTGATGAGCTGCCCTGGACTATCCAAACCCCAAAATATACCAAACGACACACAAGTATTCCAAGAGCTAAGGAAAGGTGATAGACTTATATTTGGGTTTGGCGCGTACTATGATGTTCGGCGAAACCTAATAAGGATAACAGGTACAAATGTTACATAATAATATAGAATATCATTCGTATATTATTTCAAATTGAAAAATAGAAATCCAGTTATTCCTTAAACATGTATACGAAGTAAAGTAACAAAAAACACTCATAAAACATTGATTTGATACAATGATGCAGCTAGTTCTATGGCGGTATAGTTCATTAAAGTTTTATGCGCTGAATCGTTGTAAGGAAGGATCGAACAATCTAAATGTAGATATTATTCTTTTTTTCTCATTTGTGAAGAGACTGACTGTGCTGTGCAAATACACACGCGATTCATTGTATTTTACCTTTATTCATAAGATAGCCAAATAGTGGCTTGATTACGTGATATAAACTACAGGGTGGTCCAAAAATAGTGAACCCTTGCAACAAGCTATATCTCACTACAGTTATTACTTGCATTAATGGCCTGGTATTCTCACATGTTTTAGAGGAAGGTCTAAAATTAGGTGGATACCATAAAGAGCCATAAAGGTCACTCAGTCTTAAGTATTGCTGAAGTTACATAACATCTACAGGCATGCCTGAAAATGGGTGATGTGCTCAATCCAAAATTATATGGACCGAGGGCCGAAAGCCCAATGTCCAATATTTCACTATATTGCTCGCAGAAATGACGTTATTAGTATTATTACCACCGTTAACGACCACGATTGAAACAGCAAGAAAATCTTACGCATTGAATGATATCTAATTTCCCGGGGAAAATTGCCGGTCCAGAATATATTCTAGACCAGTCCATATGGACCACCACTATGACGTCACACATTTCTCAGGTCGATATAGTAAAATGAACGCCTTCTAAACTAGCAATAAAACCCCTAGAACTGGCCCGGCAAGGTAGTAATAATGTGACGTGGTCACTGGCAATGGTGATATTTTCTAAAAAGCTAGTTTATTAATATACATTTGAGAATTTGATAATGAAACTGTTATGTTTGATGGCACTGGGGTCTGCTTTTCAGTTAAACCATGAAGGGTTCAAGTCTACAACGAACGATAGCGAGCGATCGGAATGCAACTGTCGAGTGGCACTTAATCGTATTTAATTAATTCGTTGATATACATTATTTGTAGAAATTAATGAAATATAAGCATTCCTGTATCGTAGATACATATATTCCTAAACATACACCAATGGAACATATAGGACCTCCATAGAGGTAGCATTCCCTTGATCCTGGTGGGGCAAAGTCAAGGAGGTCCCGTGGGACTTCATGGGACTCAACTGAGTGGATGGGTCTCTATGGTCTCAAAGTGACACTTTGCCGCAGTGATGTTTGTTGGGCTTAAGAGGAACACATCGAGTTTGAAAATATATATTACTGAAATATGTTTTTGACGTTTCTTCTCGCTGTCTTTTAGAAGTTGATTTAGTAGACTGATAACAATTTTGTCAATTTAATAAGATTGTTTTATTAGTTCAAGTGAAAACAGTGACGCTAAGATAACCTTTAACTTAACACATGTCGCGTTCTGATGTACATTATTGCAAAATAGCGCCAAATCGGGAAACTAGATTTTTTCTATTTTTCATATTATAGTTTATTTAACCACCTGTGTTAAACAGAGTAATAAAACTCATCTAATATACTGTTGCAAGAATAATGATCTGTTAGATCTATTAATATTTATAATGTATGGCTTTATCATAAACTGTATGTATGTTTGTATACACTGTATGTTCATGTATGTAGTGTATTTTATTGACTTTTTGCTTTTTTGACAAAATGAAATGAAAACATTATTTATGTGCATTGCAAATACAGCAACCGTGTGAATCATGCAAACCTAAACATAAGTTCTTCTAAGATAATAGGGAGTTTAAGCGTGCGTACAAAATCGAAAGGCCAACCTATTTTACAACATATTAGACAACAAAACATATTTTACTACATATTAGCCAACACAACATATTTTAGAACATATTAGCCAACACAACTTATTTTACAATATATTAGCCAATACAACATATTTTACAGCATATTAGCCAACACAACATATTTTACAACATATTAGCCAATGCAACATATACAGCATATTAGCCAACACAACATATTTTACAACATATAAGCCAACACAACATATTTTACAATATATCAGCCAATGCAATATACTTTACAGCATATTAGCCAACACGACATATTTTACAACATATTAGCCAATACAACATATTTTACAACTTATTAGCCAATACAACATATTTTACAGCATATTAGCCAACACAACATATTATACAACATATTAGCCAATACTACATACTTTACAGTATATTAGCCAACACAACATATTTTAAAACATTTAAGCCAACAAAACATATTTGTCAACATACTTACCAACACAACATACTTTACAGCGTATTTGCCAACACATCATACTTTATATCATATTAGCAAACACAACATGTTTTACAGCAAATTAGCAAACAAAACATAGTTTTCAACATATTAGCCAATGCAAAACAACATACTTTACAGCATATAAGCCAACAAAACATACTTAACAGCATATTAGCCAACACAACATACTTTACAACATATTAGCTAACAAAACAAATTTTCAACATATTAGCCAACATAACATACTTTACAGCATATTAGCCAACACAACATATTTTACAACATATTAGCCAACAAAATACAATTTTCAACATATTAGCCAACACAATATATTTTACAACAAATTAGCCAACAAAACGAACAAAACATATTCTACAACATATGAGCCAACACAACATATTTTACAACATACTAGTATAAGCCAAGAAAACGAACAAAACATATTCTACAACATATTAGCCAACACAACATATTTTACAACATATTAGCCAACACAACATATTTCACAAAACAGCCAACACAGCATACTCTACAGCATATTAGCAAACACAACATATTTTACAACATATTAGCCAACACAACATATTCTTCAACATATTAGACAACACAACATATTTCATAAAACAGCCAACACAGCATACTCTACAGCATATTAGCAAACACAACATATTTTACAACATATTAGCCAACACAACATATTCTTCAACATATTAGACAACACAACATATTTCATAAAACAGCCAACACAGCGTACTCTACAGCATATTAGCAAACACAACATATTTTACAACATTTTAGCCAACACAACATATTTTACAACATATTAACCAACACAAAATATTTTGCAGCATATTAGCCAATACAACATACTTTACAGCATATTAGCCAATACAACATACTTTACAGCATATTAGCCAACACAACATACATTACAGTGTTTTAGCCAAAACATCATATTTTACAACATATCATGCTGGCAATTAACATACTAGTGAAAGTCCTAGTGAAACACATAGTGATGCATCTGCATGATCTCTTATAATTAACAAGGTGTAAATAAACTGTAAAATATGTTTTGATCCACCATAACTTTCTATAATATGTTTGTACTACTCTGTTTAAATACAGGTTAATAAATTAATAAGTAAATTAATAATAATTAGCCAAGAAAACCTATTTTTCAATGCTTTACAACATATTTTTTAGCCAACAACACATTTCACAATATATTTAAATACCAGACACATTAGTGTCTTATGCCTTGGTCATATTTGCTCCGATTTTCACTACGGCGCCCGGCCGATTGAGTATTTTTTCAGAAATGTATTCAATTTTGAACAAAATACTCAATCGGCCGGGCGTCGGCCGATAAATCGCAGCAAATGTGACAGGCATTCTTAAGTTTTACAGGTTATATGCATACAGATATAATTCGCCTTTTCAGATAAAAAAACAATAATGCCTGGGTCACATTTGCTCCGATCCATCGGCCGGCGCCCGGCCGGTTGAGTGTTTTGTTCAATATTGTATTCAATTTTGAACAAAATACTCAATCGGCCAGGCGCCTTGTGAAAATCGGAGCAAATGTGACCCAGGCATAATTAATGCATCTGTTTAGTTGAATGAATCGACCACAATGCATCAAGCCTTTGTATTGAATTGTTTTCATACATTGCAAAATCACTCTTCTATACCTTGCAATTTGGTGTTCATGAGCAACCCATTTTGCTAATTTGTAATGATGATGTTATTTGTTTTTGTTTTTCTATTCCTTATTAATGGTTGATTGGATGACTGTTAGATGTTAATAAGGTACTTTCAAAAATATACTAAGCAATACAATTAGACAAACAGGGTATCTTATGCATTTCTAGGGGTTACGAATAGTATAGTGAAAATATGTTCTACGAATCACCTAAACGATACGAAATCACTAAAATAATACACTTCATGAAACATTTTGCAAGGGTTAAGTTGGGAAATTATTAATTTCAATATTTCAATCTCTAGAGTCAAGTTGTCACCTTGACAACACCTCAGCGAGTGACCTTGGGTGGGTTATTGGTTATATAACACAGTGCAGTTATATGGAATGGCTAGAATCGGGCACACCTTGCCTAGCTACATGTATACATGGATTGTATAACGATCTGTTCCCGGCTGTTTTTCTTACTTGTATGTGCCAGGTTATTTATCGTCAAAGTGCTTCATACCTTGTTCAAATGACACATAAATATTTTTTCCATCAATGATCATATCAAATTTCGAAATGATGTTCACATACGTAGAAAATTGGTCTATTGTTTTTGTTATATTCCCTGGAATTATATTAATGGTGTCCCTTATAATCCCAAAAAGGCACAAATGTATAACAAAAGTAGAATGGACCTTATTCGAAATTAATATCTTGCATGTTGTGAAATCTCTTGTCGAGTTGAGACGATGGCGCTAATTTGTTGATTAAACACGGCTAACTTTTGAACATTAATGTCACTGGTATTACACTCGATTACGCTGCTACCGGGTAACAAGGCACCGTTCCGGTCGGAAAGTTCGGTAATAATTTTAATTTTCCTTGATTGCCCGAGAAATAGCATAAACCATCCCAATCTTTTCGGGACAACCATGAATAAGCATCATATTCATATGTTCCTGGAAATTCTAGTTATTTCGCTTAAAATAACGTAGGATGACGGAATCTTCAATTTAATTCATAACTTTTGTTACGTAAACGGATCGAACTACAAAGAGAGTTTCCGTAATAATAGTGAGGTATTAAAACGATGATTATATTGTCGTCTGAACTATTTGTTCGTAAACGTGTAGATTTTCTAGATCTTAAACATATGAAAGTAATTTGTGAAAAATTATTGCGAGAACTCTGTAAACATCATCGTGGGGAGAAAACATTTGCGAGGAAAATATGAATTATTCGCGCGGTTTTTGATGGCGATATCGTGTCATATAAGAGGTTAGGCCTTGGATTGATATTTCTAGGCAACCCTAGTTCTCCTAAACTATCAATATATATCAGTAAGGGTTAACAAATTGCAAACTCTACTAACAAACTAACAAAAATCCCCCTCCGCACCACGTTCTTCTTTTTTTGTTTTAGCGATTCAAGATGCACATACTGCAAATCGGCCGAAGTTTTGTCAACTGTGGAAGGAGTCTTCGAATGACGTCACTGTGACCAAGATGAGAATAGAGCGAAACCAAGGAGGCCATGGAAATAGGTATTTGTGGAACTAGATCTTATCCTGAATATCCGTCACATTTAATCTATATTGGAACGCATTTGCTTCTTATAAATATCCCGCATTTTCGCAATACGCGTTCATTTTGGCACCGAGTGATTCAAATTCATTCTTCTTGCATCTAACACCCCATTTACCGAGTTGACTCTAACAGTATCAGTCTTACAGATAGTGCGGAATATACATTAATAATCTTATGCGATAATACAAAATTCCGATTATATTATGAATTCACTTAATTATATATTCCCTAAAGTGAAACTATAACTTATTTTTATGCGCATGTATAAGCAAACTAAAATATTTGCATATGAATTATTATTTCATGGTGAAATTAATTTAAACTTGAGAGGGGTTTCTCAAGACAGCCTGGGTCATCACCAGGTCAACATATGTTTCCTGCATGCTTCAACTGTTATGTAAAATTCTTGTGTCTGGCTGTTATCTGCTTATTCTGCTACTGTCCTTGCAGCGGACAACATGTGCTAGTTATAATGCTATATTGCTTGTAATTTTTTGGCTCTTTTTGCCTTGGATAAATAACCAAATAATGGAATTTGAAGACTTCCTGGAGAAGTGGTGCCTATCACCAGACACTATCAAGACACTCAGTGACAATGGATTTACCAACATGATGTCACTAAAAAGTATGGCATTGCCCGATGACCTGAAGGCAATGAAAATCAAGCCAATAGGACAATATAGACTGTTGGAAAAAGGCTTGACCGTCCTGCAAGCTGGACAAGGGCCCGAGACCCCTAACTTCGCTGCAGTCGATGAACAAACGTCCTCATCAGCTGAAGAAACCCCCCAGCAGAGACAGGCAGAGGGTGATCGTTCGTTATCCGAAGTTTTACAGCAACTTGGGATAGGTACGCAGGATAACACAACTCAATCTGCCAGTGCAAGCGCTAACAAAGGTGAGCAATATTTAAAGATAGTAGACTTTGTGCGTCCATCTTTGCGTTCCCTTACAAACAAAGACAAAGTCATGGCCGCTGACGGGGAGACCAGCTTGGTAATGCGCACGTCAAGGAAACCTCGACTAGAATCTGTATCTATCGAACAGTGGGGGCAGGCGAGTAACAGAATTTTGACTCATCTAATATCCACCAATACTTCATTTGAGGTAGCAGCCTACTTGGAATACCAAATTAACATCTATGAACTGGCAGAATGCTATACCTGGCAAAGTGTCATTTTGTATGACGATGAATATAGATATCGCCAGGCTTTAAAAGGATTTGCATGGGGGACAGATATCCCTCATATCTGTAGTACCCATCTGAAACAGAAGGTAACAACAAACAGGAGGGCTGAAAATAATGTAACAGCACCTAACGGCAATGTTATTTGTCGTAACTACAACAAAGGAATCTGCAGGTTTGAAAACTGCAGATTCGAGCATCTATGCCTGCAATGTTTCAAGAAACACCCCCAGAAGGAACACCAGGGAAACTAAAACACCCCTCTCACGGACCTATTAACTCACCCCTCAATTATAGTAAATGGGAAAATGAACTATCTGAAGATAATGACAAGGACTTTATTTTAAATGGTATTTATAATGGATTTCGAATAATTGATGAGGATGCCTTCCCAACCTCCGCAGAAATGAACAATTATAATTCAGCTATTTGTTCTGAGAACAAGTGGAAAGTGGAAAATCAAATAATAAAAGAAATTGACAATAATCGTTATATCAAAGTGGATTATAAACCAACGATCATTAGTGCATTAGGGTCAGTGCCAAAACCCAATTCGGAGGCTATACGATTAATACATGACTGCAGTCAACCGCAAGGTAGTGCTGTCAACGATTATGCTACAATTAAATCTTATAGGTATACCACAATTAATGATGCAACAAAGGCTCTACATCCTGGATACTGGATGTGCAAAGTCGATTTAAGTGAAGCGTATCGATACGTTCCTATACACCCCCAAGACTATCAATATGCTGGATTAAAATGGAAGTTCAACAATAGTAAAAAATATGATTACATCATTGATACAAGACTTATGTTTGGGGCTCGCAAATCGCCCGAAATATTCCATCGCATCACTCAAAGTATAAAACGCGTAATGCAGAGAAAGTACAACTGCAGTGACATCTATGTTTACTTGGATGATTTTTTGATAATTGCACAAACCCAAGAGGAATGCATGGAGCATTTAAATTCATTAATTAGACTGCTTCGTGACCTCGGCTTTGGAATTAGTTGGGGTAAAGTGGATGGTCCGTCTCAGGTATTGACATTTCTAGGGGTGGAACTAGACTCGCAAAAAATGAAAATGCTGTTACCACAACAAAAACTGCTAGACTTTAAAAATTTGCTAAATCAATATCTGCTACTTAAACGAGCTACACGTACCCAGCTAGAATCGCTAGCTGGGAAGCTAAGTTGGGCTGCACAAGTCATCCGTGGCGGTAGAATTTACACCAGGAGAGTTCTTGATGCTATATGCAAGCTAAAACGAAATAAACATAAATACAAAATCGGGAAAGAATTCAAAGAGGATATTAAGTGGTGGTTGAACTGTATTGACTCATTCAATGGCATAGCGCTTATATTGGACAGTAAGCCTGTTGTTGACATTGAAGTTGATGCTTCAAATACAGCATCTGGCCTCTTTTATCAAGGAGACTGGATGTATGTAAATTTTGCTATGGACGTACCTCAATACAAAGACTATCATATTAATTATAAAGAAGTCCTCTCAGTATATTTTGCCATCCTTAGATGGAAACATGTACTGGTGAATAAACGCATTCTGATTCATACTGACTCTACAGTGGCCATGACTATTGTTAATCGGGGTACAACAAAACATCCTGGTATAATGGAAATATTGAGACATATGTTTTGGATATCTGTTCAGTATAACTTTGACCTTCGAGCCGTTCATGTCCCAGGGAAACTCAATATTCTACCAGATGTAATTTCCAGACTAAATGAGCCCAAAAACTTTCTAACATTAGAGGCTATTTTGTATCCAGGAATTTTCCCTAATTCAGAGTTATCTGAAATGATTCTTCATCACCATATGACTCTAAAGTCCATGCTTTTTCTTCTTCCTCAGATCAAAGAGTGGCACAGCTGGAAAATAGCCTGGACAGGAAAATCATAGAGCTTAGGGGATATACCTACACAGACAACACCAAGCGCACTTATGCAGCACATCTTGCTAAATATCTAGACTTCTGCAAGTTAATGGGATATTCACCAGCACCTGTTTCACAGTCTAATTTGCTTCGTTATGTGGCATTTCTTAGTGACCACATTAGACCATCATCAATTAAATTATATCTTAACATTATCAGGATATTACACTTAGAAATGGGTTTACCAAATCCACTTCAAAGCAACTGGCCCTTAGACACACTGCTTATGGGCATATCAAAGAAACTTGGAGTACCCCCTAGGCAGAAGGCTGCCATTACGCCACGGCACTTGCTGGACATTAAGAAACAATTAGATCTTTCTAACTATGTTCATATTATCTTTTGGAGTTTATGTCTCACAGCCTTCTTTGGTCTCTTTAGGAAATCAAATTTAGTTCCTAATGTGTTTAACCCAGAGAAACATCTTACAATGTCTGATATTACAATGAACAGCTGGGGAATTTTGCTTCAAGTAAAGTGGTCAAAAACACTACAATGTAAAGAGAGGGTCCTGCCAGTCCCCTTCTTAGCTTTGCCAAACCACCCCCTGTGCCCTGTTACAGCTTTAAAAGCAACCCTAGCTGTAACAAGCCCAAAGAATGTCACAGATCCACTCTTCACCCTCCCAGCTCCACATCAGAAGAAACCTTTCCCACCTTCACTATTTACTTCAATGCTACAGCTTTACCTCAAGAAAGCAGGTTACTGTAGCACAGAATTTTCTACCCATAGTTTTCGTAGGGGTGGGGCGTCCTGGGGTCTTCAATGCAACTTACCTAGTGATATTATCCAACTGATGGGGGACTGGCGTTCTTCTGCTTATCAAAGGTATTTGGAGATGCCACTTCAAAACAGGCTTCAAGTTATTAAAGATTTCACAGCTAATCTACCATTAAATTGAAGTAGGAACTTTTATGACCAACATTAGGGGGAAGTGATCTTGATCTTTTGACTTTGATTGTTATAATAATTACTTCCTATATAATACTTCTACACTCTACTTTAAAATGTTTGGCCCATCTGGGGTAATTGATTCATTTCATTCTATGAATCAATTTTCCTGTAATTTTGTTGTTATTAGTTAGCCTAGAGTAGAACAATAAATTACATAATGCCAAACATTTTTCTCTAGTTGTGTGCGCATTCTTTTATAAGTCACATGAGTTTAATTATTATTTCATGGTGAAATTAATTTAAACTTGAGAGGGGTTTCTCAAGACAGCCTGGGTCATCACCAGGTCAACATATGTTTCCTGCATGCTTCAACTGTTATGTAAAATTCTTGTGTCTGGCTGTTATCTGCTTATTCTGCTACTGTCCTTGCAGCGGACAACATGTGCTAGTTATAATGCTATATTGCTTGTAATTTTTTGGCTCCCTCCCCCCCACCACGGTGCCATAATTCATACATGGTTTGTTTTTTCGATGCAATGTAACCTCTCCGGATGGTGGGGGTAATTGATTCATTTCATTCTATGAATCAATTTTCCTGTAATTTTGTTGTTATTAGTTAGCCTAGAGTAGAACAATAAATTACATAATGCCAAACATTTTTCTCTAGTTGTGTGCGCATTCTTTTATAAGTCACATGAGTTTAAAGAGGGACTTATACAGAACTCGACATGTTTTATTGATCAATTCGAACATATTTTTCACCAAAAACGAACAGCATACTTGGCTTAGCTTTTGCGTCTATTATAAACGTATTTGACTTTATGTTTTATATAGACTTTAAAACGTTTAAACATATAAGGGATTATGAACACTCTAAATTGAGTTATATATTGTGCTTATATATGATAATGTTTTTCATAATTAATTGTAATAAATTCATAATTAATTAACCTTACGTTTTCCAGGTACAATGGGGCATTTTTGACTTGCCCTCTCCAAGAAGACGGTGGTGTCTACAGCGCCGTGTCCATAACGTTTGAAGAATGTGAACGTGCGCAGAATATATTTTCAATTCAATACCCACAAATTGACGACATATCAGACGAACCAGCCAATGATTTTAACGTTTGTCTGGAAGCCCCTTTAAATTTAAACTACAGTCGCTATTATGAATTAATAGAATGGATTGAAATGAATAGAATACTAGGGGCCAGTCATTTCACTATTTATAACCATACAAGTTCTAATCTAGTCAAAACAGTTTTAGAATCGTATATTAAGGATGGTATCGTCACGCTCGTACAGTGGCCGATACCGCTCCGAGTCCACATCTGGCCTCAGCCGAAGTCATACGTAGAAGAGATACATTATTATGGTCAAACTGCCATGATTAATGATTGTCTCTACCGGATGCGACACTCCGCGAAGTATCTGGTATTTGTGGACTTGGACGAGTTTATTATTCCAAAGAAGACTCAAACTTGGATTGAGTTTATCAAAGAAAATGATCCAAAGAGACGAATGGGTGGTTATGTATTTAGAAACGTCTTCTTCCGGAAGGAATGGGATTCTGGATCAGCAATATCAAATGATCAAACTGTACAAAAGTTAAAACTAGTGACGCTTATGAAAACTAAAAAGGAGACCAAAATCTGGCCGCCATACCAAAGATCAAAACTTATTATAGATCCTTTGAAAATCAAAGAAATGGGTGCTCATCAAATATGGGGTGAGAAATCTGGGGCAGATTTAGTAGTTGATCCAAAAGATGGACTTCTGCATCATTATAGGAATTGGGAAAATCCGTCTGATCTTCCCGGCCCAGTCGATGAAACAATGCTTAAGTATAAAGACGACCTCATTGATGCTGTGATAAAGAGATATGCAAAATTGGGCTTAAATTATTAACGGTTTAATTTATGATTATTCTAAAAACCATTGAGCTAAAAGGGTTATTTGGTTTAATAATATTATAAACAAGGTATACGAGGGTTGTCCCAGAAGTAATGCACTATATGCTCTAACTTTCTTTAATATCTTCAATTCAGCTGAAATTTTGTGTATATAACAATTGAAGTTTTATCTATTATATCCCGAAGTTTCAGCATCCAACATTAATATTAAGTCTAAATATGGTTGCTATAACAACATGGGGGTAGGGGTGGGCGGGGCAGGTACCAATTTTTCTAATTATGAAAAGATCTAAAGTGTTAATTTATTAATATTTCTTTCCTTTAAATGGTCAAAATGTTTGGGAAATTGTTAAATTTATTCAGCATGATGTTAACCAAGTATGAATAATGACATTTAGCACTGTGATGTCATAATACCACATTTCAATAGTCATGAATTCAAATACAGTCACAGTCAAGAAATTGCAAAATTGGCTGCAATTCTCACCTGATAACAGAAGGCCTTGCGTTTGGTGGCCTAATTTCATACTTCACTTGGACTCACAGCCACGCAAAACAATGCTACCATGAAGAAAGTATATAAGGACTATATACCAGATAGAACTACAATAATGGGCAGAAGAGATTTAAAAGAGACGATTTGACCCTATATGACAAATCTAAACATAGGAGGCAAAACGCCACAAGTCACAGTGAAAGAAATTGCCGAGAGTATTTGACCTGACAGGCATCAAAAGTACATAACATGCAAAGGGCAATATTTTGAGAAAATGTGAAATGGGACACTGTGCAATATACATCCATTAAATCTAGGATGTGCTCATAGTAATTTAGTATCTTAAAATGTATTTTTGAGCATACTTCTTATAACTACACCAAATGGTATTTTTTATTCCTTTTGACGTGACTGTATAACCTGCCCCACCCTACCAAAACACACCACCTTGATTTTGTTATAACATCAATATAGTTTTATCAGTCAACATGAAGATTTTTAAAATAATCGAAATGTCTCTAAGGAACATTTACTGATTTCATGGAAAAATATCAATTATTGATAAAGATAGAGCATATAGTGCATTACTTCTGGGACAACCCTCGTACATTGATGAATATCGCAGTTTGAAAGCTGCCGTGTAATTTACTATGCATGCCCAAATTAAAATAAGACCTTGGTGCCAGTCGTCCCCTCGAATCTATTAAAACTTCAAGGGAACGAGAGATTTCCTGAAATATTCAGATGACAAGATTGATGTGGCGTCCGCCTGCCCGCACACATTACCAGCAGAGCCCAGCAGCACAAAGCGACTACAATATAGCAGTTCAGCATTTTTCATTTTTGAAATGTATGGAGCTCAGTGAATACGTTTTTGTATTTTACAAATGAAGATGTTCAGAGCATTACGGAACAGAAATACCACGTAAATGCCCATGTAGCCTATATCTCCGAATAGCTGTAAATATACCCTTAATATCAGAACCTGCACACTTATGATATCGTTTAGTGTGACGGTGTGGTATACTAGCAATATAAATTTATGTGTATAAAAAACGTCTGCTGGATAAAGACAGCCATACTATATAGCAAATAGCTATTGAATAATATAATGATTCAAAGACCGCTAAAGCAGTGAACTGTGATATTAAATTTGGTATAAAAGAAAGGTCTGAAATCAATTTTTAGCGACCACCAGCATATTTCAAAGATAATCTCAACTCGCGGAAAACAATGGGCACCTGGATGATCTCAAAAAGATCATGACAAAGAAGTGCTTTGTTTGCAAAATGCCACTGAATTTATTGAATTATGTTTATTTTCCCTCCATTTTTGGAGATAATTAATAATTTTTAGTCGCAAAAATATAAAATCATTCAATAGTACGAGATAGATGTCAGCGTAGTAGTACTTTTTGATCAGATTTTCATCTATAGATGGTAGCACGCCATTATATGTATTAAACGTTTGAAATGTACACGTACCGTTTATTTATCGATTTATTCATGTTTATATGCTTATTGATATAATTAGATTAAGGCAGATTTAAATTGAGTCAGTATTCTTTCCAAAAGTCTCAATTTTAGATTATTGGGCTCATCAATTGTATGTATAGCTCTGTGCAAAATGATAACACCGATGTACAAAACCCCATTTTAAGTTTTTTAACTTAAGTATGGTTGAATCTAAAGAAACAAGACTTAGTGTATTTGTGAAGGAATCATTATGAGTAATACATGTTCAATTAATGTTCATATTAACCAAATATTAAGACATTTATCAATGGGTAATTGTTATGTTACTGCGTTTTTTAATTACTTGTGTAGTGTTATTGTATTGTTACTTTAAAGGCAAATTATACCTACGTAGAATAGTTGTAGAATTCTGGAGATACTTTTCTTTTTTCATTTAAATAATCCCTTTTCACCATATTTCAAGTAATTAATTGACTATTTTCACAAATAACATAAACAACGGCGTTTATTTTAAAACAATAGAGAGGTTAAGCTTGCACTGATTTTCACAACACGAACAGAAAGTATATTAATTAATATAGGAATATATAGTGCGCTCATGCGCATTAACACATAAGTCTACCCAATACCCGTTCTGCTTCAGCGTTTCGCGTTTAAAACGGGAGAAATTTCACGTTGGTGTCAACAAAAATCAGTATTCTCATGTGTATTGGATACTATGCTGTTAATTTTGATTTAGCAGAGGTCAAGAAATTACCAAAAACTAAAATCATTTTTTCCAAATTTGGAGTCCATAATGCGACAGAAAATAATATAAAATGATTTCGAATATATGATTTAGGTTTCTAAGCTATACGATTGAGGTTATTATTCTCATCAATACAAAAAATATGTAATCAGTACATATATGGTACAAATGAATTACTTTTAATTAGAATGACAAATGCTAAAATTATGCTAGTTTCTCACAAAATGGGTCTCAATATGTTTTGATATATGGGTTGTTATTCCGCGCTGAAGATTGCCAATAAAGGAGGGCCTATTGTTCTTCCTTGACTGATTGCGACTACAGCTAAAATTCTATTTCTCGTAGTTAGATATAACTCAGTTGCGCATAAAACAACTGCCAAGACTTGGTCGAATTCATGAGTCACTGAGAAAAATCGTTCTTTTTATCTTCCTTAAATATGATGATATCCAGCAGTTAGGTCAAAGAAAAAATAACCATCAGAAAATCTGATGATACCCGGCAATAACGTCGAGGAAGAATTGTAAGGCTTTCGATTGCATATGACTCTTATAGATTATTAGATGTGCCCTTGGAATATATTAACATTCCAGTACCTCTGTAACATTAAATTAGATATAAATATTACCTATTTAATTTGTAACTGTCTTATGTTTTATAAAACATAAACAATAATTTGTTGTTTGACCCCTTGCGATAATATGGATAAATTCTGGTAATATAATGTTTTAAATGGTAAGAAAATTAATATGATTGCAATCAAAAATTACCTAAATATTCCACACAAATTTGTTCAATCTGATTGGCTTGTATTTGAAAAGTCAAACAAAATCTGAAAAGCACACTTGTGTCATTACACTAATATTATACACTGACATTTCAAGTAAAATTATAGTAACTTTTTACATTATGATAATCTATTTTATTGTCCGTATGCTAAGAATAACGGCCTGTGTCTCATAAAATTTATAAAACTTCGAATCAAAATATTTACATTTTTTGACCCCTTGTGATGAAAGACATTTTTCAACCCGAAACCCAGAAGTTTTTTTCAGCAAATGGTATTTAAAAAATATTCAAACATATGCACCTCCTTAAATATTGCTTTAAATGTTGCTGCGCTATATTGTGCTACGGATCCTTCATATTTGGAAGTCCAGTCATACCATGGGCTATATGGGCGATTCATACGTGATATACGTTTTTGATTCGTTTTTTATATGCAAGCTTAACCTCCCTAATATGTGTTCATCTACGAATGACAAGAGAAAATATTATTTCCCCACACCGATGGGTGTTAATTTCATTCACTGCATTCTAATGGCTTCCTCAAAGTTTAGCCATCCAATCGTTTATGTGAAAGCACTTTATTATCAGGATATGTAGCAATATTTGGCTCGCAGACTGCATTTTTTTTATCCCATGTGTCAGGTAAGTTTGATTCCAAGATGCTTCAAGTGACGGTAAAATCTTTGACTTATAAATTTGTAAAAATCGTAGTCATCCGCTAGATATTCCTTCATTACAGCAATTGTTTTATTACTTGGTCTCGCCTTCCTAAGTGAACGATTCTTTACCTGTACAACGCGATGGGCGTTGTATGCCCTTGACAATTCATCTGTAAACCTCGGTAAGACCCTTTCCATTGCTCTAACGGTTTCGTTAAAGTGCTCAGTCAGACCAACGAATGCATAATATTTTTCAATGTTTGATTTTGCATTGGCGCTTGAAATCAGCGAACGGTTGGTGCTGTACTTCCCTGAAAACCAAAATGAGTAATATGAATGATAAACTTTGAAACGGAGGCAACCTTTGGCTGGTTTTTCTTTCAAACATGCAACGGTTTGTTTAATATTCTTTCCCGAACACCCAGTCTTCTTTTTCCACATTTGGTAACATTCCTCAAATGTTTGGTTTGTTTCACCCTCAGTAAAGTTCAGACGTTTTATATGAATTTCGGAAGACCTATAGTAATAAAAGTTAGAAATCCATCTTTCTACCGGATCTCGTACTATGTCTATAAACAATGGCTGTTTGAAGCCAAGTTCGATGAAATCGAAAAAGCTGAAATGGCCCACAACTATTGTGGGTCTTTTATCTTGAAGTTGAGTCAATGCATAATTTTGCTTTTCTGCAACTGTGGTCAATTCGCTTATTTCTGGTACGGGGAGTATATGAGTCAAATTGTATTTTCCGCTATATTCGCAAGCAGTTGTCATAACTGCAAGCAGCGTAGTGCTTCCACATTTAGAAGCTTTGCTGTACATTAGGAGATTTTCATTGCGATCATTCTTCCTAAATCCCTTTAAATGTAGATTAACTTTGCTACGTGGCTCAATATAACTACTTAATCCTTTATTTTTAACAATGTAAACACGTTTGACGGGGACTGGCCTGTTTACTTCTTTTGCATGTCCAGTCCACTGAAAACTCATAAGAGCAATTGTTGTAATAATAGAAACAATACAGAGACATATTACTCGTATTTTGCTCTGAGAAATCATTGTTTACAAATCTCACCCGTCACAGTTTTAAAATATGGATATTTGCCGTTGATGTCCTTAATGTGTTCTAGAGTAGGAAACGCTTGTCGGTGTGACACCTTTATGTCTATAAAACAATTAAGTCCTGCACTGATCTTCCCGATTAGATTGTTATGTCGGTTGTGAGTGTTTTTCTCTCGTACCCCGAAGCGCAATACGTCAACTTTTTAAGGGATAGTTAGATGCAACAGCGCAGCAATGAATTCAAACCCGTCTGATTCAGCTCTTTCTTTCGCATGAATATTTTAAAGAAAAATCCAATGTATTGAAACCGCTTCTTTAATAACTTCTGAATTTTATATAAAGAAATTATACTGTACTGTGTCTCTATGTTCGTTGTACTCATTTCAATCATTCCGTTACATGTACATTTGGTCTTTGAGCTGTAATACACCGTTGCGCGCTAACTTTATGAGATTTGTATTACGACCATTCATCTTGGACTGGATCAGATTAATTCTATTTAGTGTCTTAACCTGGATCTGAAAAGTTTATGGGCGTATTCCACCATTGCAATAAGATTTGAGTATTTTCCAATTTGCCATTGAACTCCCCTATCTTAAGTGCTATCAAATTTAAATGGATGGAGGTTTTCAAAATGATAGAAAGGCTTTGTAATTAAAAACGTATTCCATGCCCAAGGAACTAATTGTTCAGAAACTGTACCTGTGTACTGTTTTTTAGAAAATTGTCCTGTATTCCAGGTAAATATACACTATTTGTATATTTATATGTGTATATATATATTCAATATAATGGAGATTTCGCTCATCAATGAAAGCATAACCTAGGTTTATGCGTATATCTATCTATACGTTATAAGTATGAGCGAATTGAAATATGACGTTTCGCAAAAATATGTACGTTTAGAAATGTATAGTTTATTGCATATAATAAATATCTTGAATTAAACATCATAAAATAATATTAAAACATCATTATAAATAGAAAACAAAGGTAAAATAAATTTGGTTAGAGCTGATCCAAATGACTTTAAATCATAATTATAAACGAAATACTATTATTATACATAATATGAACGAACCCCTAGTATCTAAATTATAAAAATAATAAAATAATGATAATAAATGATAATTAATAAAATGATAAATACAATACTATAGGATTAATGCATAACTTTATATAATTTAAAACAGAGCAAACATGGAATGTAATAAATAAATAAACTAATAAATAAATATATAGTCAAGATAAACACGTTTGCTTATAAGTAGCAATATTCTAAAATAGTTCGACCAATATGATCTACTAAATACTAAGTACTAAATAGTACCATTGAGTCCACTGCAGAATAATGATTTTGTCCATATTACCATGGAGTGTTTGGAAGAGATGACAAGTATTCTTCGTTTTAAGAGGCGTTTTTCTTTGCCAATTCAAGAAACTCAAGTTTTTGGAAGTCAAATAGATTCCCCATGTCTCTGAGTATGATGTAGTAAGCCACATTACGCTGAGCTTCGTTACCAAGGAGATCAATTATTGAATCTCTAATGCGACCCTCGTGATTGAAATTGAAATCGTGGTTGACTCCGGTTGCAATCATTGTATGGTGAACGTTACAGAATACTCCACCATAAAAATATTTCTGTTCAAATTCTTTCATTTCATTGAGGAGGGACGCAGAGGTTTGTCCAATGAAGACGTCTTCCTCCTCCTCAATCATGTGTTTCAAGAAAACACTGACCTCGGCAAGTTCCTTTCTCGCTCTTCTTAATGAATCTTCATTCTGGAAAAGACAAAAATATATCCTCTAATAATTGTTTGATATTTTTTAATATGGTATGAGCGCTTTTAAAAAAAGATTGCTATATCCATATATAGATGTCACTAAGTCCTTATATGTAGCATTGACTATTGAACCAGTCTTCAGAATAGTGATCTGAATTAAATAATATTTGATTTATTTGATTTGCAAATTGTAGTGTTGATAGACAAACAATTTGACACTCTGTATGATCATGATGTGAAGTGCATGGTAATCTCATATATTGAATGATTAAACATATTACTTACATGTGCCGTTTCCTTAGCTTTACTCAATGCTTCGCTGGTTGGCATATGGCTCAATTTAAGAGTTTTAATTTGCTCTATTTTACTTGTTGTAATACGTCCTTTTAATACCTGAAATATAAATTTGGTTTGAAGAATATCATGTTAGCTTATCTTACGAATATGATAGTATGTCCCCCAAGATTATGAGCATGCAATATGTTATCCAAGAGATTTTTAAGATTATTTTATCCAGAGTTGAAAGAATGCCCAAACGATTATGAGAGTAATTAGTTGCTCAACAAGAGATAATGTTTGGTAGTTAGTTGGTTGTTAAAGTACAAAACAACTGTTAAGGGAATCATGATATTATATAACTTTGATCCTCTGCAGATAAAAAAGGCATATAAAATTAAACATACACCCACTAGGGTGTCATTATCACTTATATGTATATATGTTTATATGATTTTAATAAATAAAAAAAAACAAAAAAAACTTACAAGTAAATTTTGAATATCTTCAATACTTCGCTTGGCTCGAATTGCTGAATCCGAAACTTCTTTATAGTGAGTCGAATGCGTTCCGTCACCAGAAGTAACAGAAGCCCAGACAGCAGGCGTTGCGTCGCCGATGGACGAACCGTCCCCACAAGGGTTCTGCCAGGTAGGTGCGGTACCTACAACGGGCGCAGAGTTCACTTGGGCAGATAATAAAGTCATCAAGGTAATTACAGCCATCGTCGTTTCTGAAATAAGTAGATACGTATACATAGCATAATTAAATAATATAGATAATCTAATTAGGCCAGGTGTAAGCGATGGGTTAATGTATTTTTCCTGAATTCCCTTCTCAAATGATTATTTATGTGTAAATGGTTTTCAATGGGAGTAATGACTGCCATCTATGTTATGTATTCAAAGTAATGTTTGTAGAATCATTGTCAGTTAAACAAAGTTTTTGAAAAAAAGAAAAATAAGCCATTCTATGCTGCACATTCTGTGAAAATTCCATTCGTACATTTTGAAAAAAAGAAATTAGAGAGATATTATGAGAACTTTATGATAACCCTTCGTACGTTGGTCAGTAATTAGAAACATAAATTTGCATCGAGCCGTCAACAAAGTAGCATTACTTAAGTCAAAATATTTAGAATTTAGAAACGACTGTTATCTGATACAAACAGAATGTCATTTTGACTTTATTAAACTATAGAATGACCTACTTACCTAGTGCCAATGCCATATTGTTCTCACGATGTTTGTTCTAATATATAGATTGTATGTTTAGTTTATATGCCGGACTCAAAATACAAGTCGTGTAAATATAATCTATTAAGTCGTTTTCCCGTATCTGTAATCTGTATGATGCACTTTAATTTTTTTGCTATTGTGCAAGTCGTCTTGTTTCGTCTGTTATTGACATAGACGAATCAAACAACACTTATATAGTCTACAAACCATTACGAATCTTGGGAAATATTGCACAGGTTGTCCCGGTCAGTAATGAGTCATTCGACCAAAAAACAAATAAAACTCCGACAGTTCCCAGAATTCGATATATGAGAACGATAACTGTAATGAGCTGGATATATTACACGCCGGGTATTTAATTAATGATGATTTCCTTCTAGTATTTTTATTTCCATGTTATTGGGTTTACTTCCTCATCGTTGTAGAAGTATTGTTAAGAAAAAATAACAGTAGATGACATGTAAATCTAGGCTACAGCTAATTTTAGAATTGTTTGACTTTATATTCATAAAAACATTGGTCATATTGTAAACAATATATTACTTTTATCGTGTTAAAAGCTAACATTTAGAAGGGAAAGCATTTTAGAATGAAAATTATCATGTATACATAATTTAGAGACCTAGGGGGGGGGGGGGGGGGGCGTTACTCTTGAAATAACCTTATATGAAAGATTACTATTTTAACCGTCTTTAATATAAATGTCTGAATATCTCTTGTAATGCCTGGTTAAACAATGTCTATTAGCACGTAAATTTATGTTAGACTCGATGAGGAAAGGGAAGCAAAGGAAGTGTCTTATGCTCTAGCTTTTATTGCAACTTCCTCCCAACATAACACTATGTACAGGGTAGACCAAAAGTATGTTTTAACAAAACAAATATAAATATTTGTATGATTAAATTTAACACCACTTGTAATACTTACAATTCAAATGAATCTGATATTGGATGGTCTAACAAATTGCCTTCTATTCATTTATCTTTACTAATTGCGTGTTGTGACGATAATTTATTTTTCAGGAAGATATCTTGGAGAATAGTTGACTCTCTTATTATATTTCTGCATTTATCATGTATTATAGATAGCAGAATAATCATATAGTCAGTACTAACGACAAATTATTTTTTATAAGAAATATTCAATTTTTAATCTTTGAATTAATCGTTTTGCACAGTTAATATTTGGAAAATGTACATTAAAAGAAACAGATGGAATAAGTTTCTGGTTATAAGATATTTTATTAATTATTATGTATCACAAGAAATATTCGGCAAAGCTCACGACAAACTAGACATAAGTGATAAATAAAGTAAAAACAACGAATAGATAAAAAAGGGAATCAAACAGGATTCAAACCTTCTTCCCACTACTAGGACAGATGTTCACTTTTAAAATTTGATTGTGAACTGACAATTCACTCATATTAGTAAGTAATACAACGATCTGATAAAAAGACGGGAATTAAACAGGATCCAAACCTTCTTCCCAATACTACGACAGATGTTGACTTTTAAACTCTGATTGTGAACTGACAATTCACTCATATCAGTAAGTAATACAACGATCTGATAAAAAGACGAGAATCAAACAGGATCCAAACCTTTTTCCCACTACTAGGATAGATGTTCAGTTTAAAACTTTGACTGTGAACTGACAATTCACTCATATCAGTAAGTAAAAACAACGATCTGATAAAAAGACGGGAATCAAACGGGATCCAAACCTTCTTTAATTTTTTAAAATTAAAGATTAAAATTTTGAAGAAAATGGGCCTCAAAATCTCAGTATTTTTTCCGCGCAAGAGCAGAAGAAATGACGAATGACGCAATTTGCCCCCCCCCCCCCCTGTTGGTTCTCAGATCCGCCCCTGATGTGTATACTAATTCATAAATAACTTCAATGGCTTTGGACATGATAAGTTTCAGAGCGGGGTTTCAGAGGCAGAGAGGGGCTTTCTTGGAAAAAAAATCAATTATGTTTGAATATTTCACTGTTCCACTGTAAATCTCTGACGTTCAATTCATAGAAAACAAGTCACCACATTTTGAAGATCATATTACTAATTACTTTGCACTAATTTCATTGGTTTAGACTAGGCTGTGAACGATTTCGGAAGTTAATTTAATTTTGTTCCATCTAAGTTCAATGTTTGATAGAAAACTGAATAAATCTAGTTTGAGGGAGGGGGTCAAAGCTATTTCAGTTTGCTATCCGACAAATTTCAACAAAATTATTTTTTTGCAATTTCTACTCAAAATGCCTTGGAATGGTTTACAAATAAAAACTTTATCAAATGCCTTCTTCACCAAGATGCATGCAACGTGGAATATTATGCCTATTGTTGTTGGCACATGTTTTAAGAATTATAGTTATAGTACTGCCCCCATGATTCCAGATTTCACAAATGACAGAGTCCCAGTCGCTAAAATATGTAAAAAGTCCGGGAACAACTTTCATTGTATTTAGTTTTGAGGGGGAGGGGGGTTCAACTCAAAACTAGATTTATTTAGTTTCCTATCAGACATTGATGCCTCCCCTAACTGTCTTTATTTGTGAATTTGTATGAAATGCCAAATGGCAAATGACGATTGAAATTAATACATTCTGTTTATTGCAAAGCAAAACATGGAAACAAGTTTAAAAAGTTTGCTTTTTCCTTGTAGCCTTAACTAATAAGACCACACTAAACCTTAAAGAAATTAGATAGGTCGAGCGTAGAGTTGTTTTCAAGAACTATGTCTTTTTGCATTATCTCGTCACACCTGGTAGAACACCGAGCTTCCGTCAGCCGGCAGTTGATTTCGCGAATCCGATCTTTGTTTGGTCTATGACAAATGATATGCAATTGCAATACCAGAACAAAATATCATCACTTTTTGGTGTCGACATTAGATTTCAGAACTAATGTGGTTGATTATAATCGGGAATGTCAAGGGGCTTGAAATTTTAGAAAATAAGTACACATTTTCGTGGAAAGAATATGTACATTTTCATAAACAAACATCACTTTTAATTTGATTTGAATGACAACAGTTTTATGTAAAATAAATCGAAATCAAAAACAAAAATCTTTACGCATAACAAGTAAAACAAAAGTACATGAATGCACTGAGTGATCGGTCATTGCCACTTTTAAATATGTGTAGCCAGTATACACTCTCCTTTCATATTAGATTTCATTTATTTTAGAATTGGTTTGAATTTTGTGACGTTGATAATTATTTTAGAATGCGTAGAGTACGTATATGATATAATTCGGGATCCGGATCGGTGGTGTTCACACAGTTTTGGTGATGGGTTTCCAGTCCGGATTGCTACATCGTCAATATTTTTGTTAATACATTGTGAAACTGAGAATAAACAATCGGAAATGATCATATGAAAAAGAGATTGATTATCATCTAAATTCCCAAAGCTGACATATCGATCAAAATCGTTCATCTTAGGTATTGAAATAGATATGTTCGCTAAAATCACCAGAATCAGGCACTTAATATGTTTCTGCCAGAATTGCAAAATAAGGAAAAATCAAAATAAAAACTCACAAAAGTTTATTCGGAAGTGCTCATTGACGTTTACATTTAACTTTCAATGTTGTTGTAACAACGTTGTGCAATATCCTCTAATTTAATACTTTTTTTACAACTTGTGTCAGTCTGACCCACAATAAGGGAAACATAGACATAAAGACTACATGCTAGCTGTCAGTTGTCGGTATTGTTTATATGACATCCTACGACAAACGTCCTTCTTCAATATGTTTCTATTTGTTTATTGAAATCACTTGACGCCACTTAAATAAAAAAAACAGTTTTAAAGTACACGACTGTACATGGTACTATAATGACCGTGATTTGAAAAGTTAAAACAGTGTAACTTGTCTATGGTGGCCCGCTTGGTTTGGCTCGCGATCGATTGGTTATTTCTGGATTGAAAAACATCGATACGACCGCCGTCAAGGTGAATGAATAATCCAAGTCCAAATGGTTTGACAATCCTGATGAAAGCGACTTATTTGACAGGATAAAAATGTGAGTTTCATAAAACTAATTGTAGTCAATATACCTATAAGACGATAGAATGATTTCCTAAATAAAGACGGTAGCGCAGGTACCTCTTACACAATAGGTCCCGGATTCGATCCCCGGTTCAGGCAAGACTAAATTTGCTTGTTTGCGTGAAGTACTTCAGGGTGTTTGACTGAGTGGTCCGCAACTCGTACAAAAGGCTGTGGTGTGTCTATTAGTATAGTAGGAACAAGGGGTTCCCATGCACCCATAAGGTGTGAATAAGTTACATACATTTTTGTAATTCTTAGGGTGTATATTTAATGAATTCATTTGTTAACATTGCCAACTAATGTCCCATAGTACTTTTATGGCGGCATTCAGTTACCATGGTTACGCATCTTTAGACATCTTACCTTGGTATCTAAAATCATTTGTAGCTCTGTCATTATTTGGTCTATAGAAATGATATTGGTACCAAATTAAACCTCGTTAAATTTCCAATAAATTTCTGTTATTCAATTATGCAAATTATCTAATTTGCATAAATTATGACGTCATCAATCTATTTTTGGTTCAGAATTTCCAACTATAGCAACGAATCTATTAGAACTGAGGCCGTTTGGCAAAATTTCTGAAAGGTTTTGTCCTTTATTCTATTAGTAGAAGGTGTAAGCAACATAAAAGTGAAAACAGATCCAAAATTGAATCAGTATTACGAAAGTTATGTAACTTTCGAGGCAGCTATCGTGAATGTCATTATTTGACAATAATACACATTACGTCTTACCTTGGGAGTCTTGAATCAATGTAGCTTCGCCATTATTTGGTCTATAGAGATGATATTGGTATCTGATTAAACCTTACTAAATTTACTATATGGTTACAATATTAAGTTATGCAAATTAGCTTATTTGCATTAATTGTGACGTCATCAATCCATTTTTGGTTCAGAATATCCTAGTATAGCAACATATCTATTAGAACTGAGGCTGTATGACAGAATGTGTATAGTTTTGTCCCTTATTTGATGAGTGGAAGATATAAGCAACATTAAAGAGACAACAAATCTTCAAAATTGGATCAGAATTAACAAAATTATCCAGCTTTGGAGGCAGCTACTGTGAACGTCATTGTTTGACAATTATAAAAAGAATATTAAATTAACAAAAAAAGTAACAACCATAGTTGTTTCAATCTTATTGAGTAAAAATGTGCATGTATTGAACTGAACTAATAAGTATGTGGAAAGGTTACATGTAGTTTGACTATCATTCAGAGGGGTCAAAACGGTTATCTCGACCCTGTATATTAAAGATCCAATCTTATAATTTACCATGCACTTTCAATGATTCATATAAATAGTATACCTATAGTCTGTTTTTCATCATATTCTTCATATTCTTGATTCTTAAAGCATCTGAAGTATATAGCATGATTAGAAGTGAAGATGATTCATCATATGGTTTATGTAATATTTCTAAAATTTCAGATGCTATGGTAACATCACTTGATAATGAGGTTTTTACTAGGGGTGGGACGGATAACCAAAATACCTCAAATCCACGGTTCATAGCTTTAGGATCGGTTTTCGGATCATGGCCCTACTTTCGGATCAGCTTTTCGGATCGTTTTCGGATTAATATTTCATTGGTCAAGTATCAATAAAACAGTTAAAAACACTGTTTTACAGCAACAGTTTTGATATTCCTAGTCCCTACCTTGTCTGTCTTGTCTGCTGCTAGCTCACTCGTTTACTAGATTCGTTTTGTATCCGCGTATTCGTATCCCTCGGTAATCAATCATGTGGTCCCTGGTACTATATTCTTTAGTCGTGTATTCTAAATAATATGTATTGTTCATGAAATACTATAACATAAAATTCCATCTATAAAATATTGTTATAACGTCAGAGACAAAGCAGCTAATCATGTCAATCAATACAAATCCTTAAAATGAATGAACCGAACCGAAAAAACTGAACCGACGGCTGATGATCCGAAAAACCGAACCGAACCGAAATGAACCGTCCCATCCCTAGTTTTTACATTTCACGTTCTTAATGAGTTAAAAGGAAGTTATCCTCCCTTTGCTTTAGAGATAAAAAGTTGCATGAATTTGTTTAGAAAAATTATAACTTAATTAATTTAACCCCCCCCCCCTGACAGCCCCCATATTTGAAGATTTTGGTGAAACCTGGCAAAATACATTAATAATTAGGTTCCAGAAGCCCCCAGAAGCTATATGATAGCCCCCAGTGGCCCCAAGAATCTATACAGGGGCCCCAAGTGGCCCCCAGAAGCTATACTGTGCTCCCCAGAAGCTATATGTTGGCCCCCAGAAGCTGAATAGTGGCCCCCAGGAGCTATACGGTGGCTCCCAGAAGCTATACAGGAAACCCTGTGGCCCCAGGAGCTGTACGGTGGCGCCCAGAAGCTATACAGGGGCCCCCAGTGGCCCCAAAAAGCTATACGGTGGCCCCCACAAGCTATACGGGGGCCCCCACAAGCTATACTATGGCCCCCAGAAGCTATACAAGGGCCCCCAGAAACTATACTATGGTCTCCAGAAGCTATATGGTGGCCCCCAGTGGCCCTCGGAAGCTATATGATGGCCCCCAGAAGCTAATTAGTGGCCCCCAGGAGCTATACGGTGGCTCCCAGAAGCTATACAGGGGACCCCAGTGGCCCCAAGAAGCTAAACGATGGCCCCCAGAAGCTATACAAGAGCCCCAAAAAGCTACATGATGGCCCCCAGAATCTATATGATGGCTCCCAGAAGATGTGAAGGGCCCCCAGTAGCCCCTAGAAGCTATACGGTGGCCCCCAGTGGCCCTCATGGGCTATATGATTGCCCCCAGAAGCTAAATAGTGACCCTCAGGAGCTATATGGTGGTTCCCAGAAGCTACAAAATGGCCCCCAGAAGCTACAAAATGGCCCCCAGAATCTATATGGGGCCCCCGATGGCTCCCAGAAGCTATAAAGGGCCCCCTAGGAGCCCCTAGAAGCTATACGGTGGCCCCCAGTGGCCCCGAAAGCTATATAGTGGCCCCCAGAAGCTATACAGGGGCCCACAGTGGCTCCCAGAAGCTATATGTTGGCCCCCAGAAGCTATGCAAGGGCCTGCAGAAACTGTACTGTAGCCCCCAGAAGCTATACAGGAGCCCCCAGTGGCTCCCAGAAGCTATATGATGGCCCCCAGAAGCTATGCAAGGGCCCGCAGAAACTATACGGTAGCCCCCATAAGCTATACGATGGCCTCCAGAAGCTATACAGTGTCCCCCAATGGGCCACCATATAGCTTTGGGGGCCACCATATAGCTTCTAGGGGCTACTGGGGGCCCTGTATAGCTTCTGGGAGCCATTGGGGGCCATCATATAGATTCTTGGGGCCACCATGTAGCTTCTGGGGGCTGCTGTATAGCTTCTGGGGGCCATCGTATAGCTTCTTGGGGCCACTGGGGTTCCCTGTATAGCTTCTGGGTGCCAACGTGTAGCTCCTGGGGGCCACTAATTAGCTTCTGGGGGCCATCATATAGCTTCTGAGGGCCACTGGGGGCCACCATATAGCTTCTGGAGACCACAGTATAGTTTCTGTGGGCCCTTGTATAGCTTCTGGGGGCCATCGTATACCTTCTGGGGGCCACTTGGGGCCCCTGTATAGATTCTTGGGGCCACTGGGGGCCATCATATAGCTTCTGGGGGCTTCTGGAACATAATAATTAATGTATTTTGCCAGGTTTCACCAAAATCTTCAAATATGGGGGCTGTCAGGAGGGGGTTAAATTAAGTTATAATTTTTTTAAACAAATTCATGTGACTATTTTCTCTAAAGCAAAGGGAGAATAACTTTCTTTTAACTCATTAAGAACGTGAAATGTAAAAACCTCATTATCAAGTGATGTTACCATAGCATCTGAAATGTTAAAAATATTACATAAACCATATGATGTATCATCTTCACTTCTAATCATGCTTTATACTTCAGATGCTTTAAGAATCGAGAATATGAAGAATATGATGAAAATCAGACTATATGTATACTATTTATATGAATCATTGAAAGTGTATGGTAAATTATAAAATTGGATCTTTAATATACAGGGTCGAGATAACCGTTTTGACCCCTCTGAATGATAGTCAAACTACATGTAACCTTTCCACATACTTATTAGTTCAGTTCAATACATGCACATTTTTACTCAATAAGATTGAAACAACTATGGTTGTTACTTTTTTTGTTAATTTAATATTCTTTTCATAATTGTCAAACAATGACGTTCACAGTAGCTGCCTCCAAAGATGGATAATTTTGTTAATTCTGATCCGATTTTGAAGATTTGTTGTCTCTTTAATGTTGCTTATATATTCCACTCATCAAATAAGGGACAAAACTATGCACACATTCTGTCATAAGGCCTCAGTTCTAATAGATATGTTACTATACTAGGATATTCTGAACCAAAAATGGATTGATGACGTCACAATTAATGCAAATTAGCTAATTTGCATAACTTAATATTGTAACCATATAGTAAATTTAATAAGATTTAATCAGATACCAATATCATCTCTATAGACCAAATAATGGCGAAGCTACATTGATTCAAGACTCCCAAGGTAAGACGTAATATGTATTATTGTCAAATAATGACATTCACGATAGCTGCCTCGAAAGTTACATAACTTTCGTAATACTGATTCAATTTTGAATCTGTTTTCACTTTTATGTTGCTTATACCTTGTACTAATAGAAAAAAGGACAAAACCTTTCAGAAATTTTGCCATACGGCCTCAGTTCTAATAGATACATTGCTATAGTTGGAAATTATGAACCAAAAATAGATTGATGACGTCATAATTTATGCAAATTAGATAATTTGCATAATTGAATATCAGAAATTTATTGGAATTTTAACGAGGTTCAATTTGGTACCAATATCATTTCTATAGACCAAATAATGACAGAGCTACAAATGATTTAAGATACCAAGGTGAGATGTCTAAAGATGCGTAACCATGGTAACTGAATGCCGCCATAAAAGTACTATGGGACATTAGTTGGCAATGTTAACAAATGAATTCATTAAATAGACACCCTAGGGATTACAAAAATGTATGTAACTTATTCACACCTTATGGGTGCATGGGAACCCCTTGTTCCTACTATACTATATGTATAAGTGCACATAAAAGAACACAGGGCTCCTTCAAGGAGGGGTTTCTGGGTCTATCTTCCATGTTAATTACGTAAATTACGACCGTATATATACGGGACATACCCAAGAGGTATTGCTCATCTTCATTGGTGGTAAACAAAAAAAATACAATACAATAAGACGATAGAATGATTTCCTAAATAAAGAGGCCAGGTTAAATCAACTTGAATCAACATAGATTGTTAAGCTCATTATTGTTAAAGCGATAACAGTCAGTTCGGGTCACATGTTATAAATAATCACAATTTCTTGTACACGAAATTGAACAGCACGACACTGCAGCTATATCAAGAGCACATATATTGACCCCAACAGTAGGGTTTTGCCAGTAGGGTTTTGCTATATCCAGTTAGTACTGAACTACAACCATATTGACGAAACAGCTATAATCACGTAAGTTATTAGTAGGCTTTCTGATCGACGGTCTATAGGGTCTTTAGATTATGAACATTCATGTATCAAGCATTTGGGCCTACTAGCCAAATTTATGCAGAAAACTCGTAATATATGAAATAAGAGTCAATAATAGTGTTTATATGACATTTATGAACCGATCAACCTTTCATGAAAGGTTGATCGTTTCATAAATGTCATTTTACACATGATTCGAAATACTCATTTTGGATAAACTGTATACATTGGAAATCATGAACACATTGTGCTATTTTTAGCTTGTGTAAAGTTAATTATACATGTACTACAGTGAAACAGTTCCTATTGTAGTGTTCATTAGGCTATTTTCTAGTTTTCATCATAATAAAATGATACCCTGGAAAAACATTAATATACTGTGAACAACGAGAAACCATAGAGATAGCACAGAACATTGATTCCTTAAATGCGCAACCATAAAGGACTTTTTGAGAACGTGCTACTGTACTATAAAGCTGGGGACATATTCCAGATAGTAAAGACATCATATATTTGAGGACATAGAAGTCCCCACGGACTAGGTGGGTCCATGGGGATTATTCAAAGGTCAGATTGCAAGGTCACCTAAAGGCCAATACCTAGGTATTTGGAGTTCTAAGACCCTTGGCTTGGGGCTTTTGTGATCCTTGGCGATGATTAGTTGAACTGTGAAAGGTGATCTCAAGTCAAAGGTCTATAGACTGTAAGCCTTTTTAAGGTACATGATGGATACTGTGACCCTTAGCGACTAATTATTAGGTGACCTTAGGTCAAAGTCAATGTTTATGGGCCAAGATCATCACAAGGTCAAAGGTGAATATCTAGATAGTTGGCGTTTCAAGGCGTTTGGACAAGTTCATCTCAATTCAAAAATTGGTAAAGGTCAAATGATCAATATACAGGTATTTAACATTTTATGGGGGCTGCTGCCATATGCGGGCTGCTGTTACCCTTGGTGACCCACTCGAACGGGTAGTTTGCTAGTGAAGATAAAGATTTAAGTCCGGGATGATCCCGTGACCATATGGATTTTGAAGAAAAAGACCTTCCCTCAATAACGTAGTACTTGTTTTAAAAAATCATTCCGCTATGGATAAAAAATTATAAAAAACAATTAAATATTAAACTTTAAACAAATAAAATAAATTTTAAACTAAAAAGTCAATGAAAATTGTAGTATCATAAATTACTCCACCCACCTCTAGAAATGACATTTTTCACCAAAACGTACATTTTGTTCAGACATATTAGTAATTAATTACCCTATCAAGAATTAATTATTATATGACCTCATTTACCGAACAATAGATGGCGCTTTTCTGAGCAAAAAATAACTCAGAGCTTTACCATGTACAATGAGGTACGTCAGCAAGAAGTAGCCATTGTTTGAAACGTCATGATAATGAAAAAAGATATATTGTTAACGAATCTGGTAGAACCCCTGCTCCGGCCTGTAATTGTACTAATTACGAGAATGTCAAACAATTCAGTTTTTCGAATGTTACTCTTTATTTTACAAATACATAATCTTGTTATTTTCTTTTTTCAGGATGGTGACGTCGGTACTGATGTTTGTATGGACCAACTGGGTGTCAAGTCTGATGACAGTGACATTGTTGACCTTAATAACAATAAAGTACCTAGATTCAAGAAGGTGGAAGTTGCCACCAGGACCATTTGCTTGGCCAGTGATAGGTACATTTTGAAACCAATATTACGTTTTCTGTCTAAAAAGAGAACTACTAAAATGAAAAATATTTGCCCTTTAATTAACAAAAATGCTTCGAATCAGAATGAAACACATGTAGACATAATATACGAAGAAAACGTATCAATTGAAATTAGTCAAAATTAAAACTTTATTGATCATGTTCGTATACGTTATAAGGTATGTACACCATACACATATTTTAGGCTATTTCATTTTCACTACATCATATAAGACAGTGTTTACTTGCATATGCTTTAGCTTTTATTTTTGTTTGGAATGGTGTGTTTTTTTGGTTGCCATGATATGCTCTTAGTTTTTGCTTTATGCTTCCATATCATGGTAAACGTATTCAATTTGATCACAGGAAATGCTTCAATCTTCAAAGCTACTCCCGAAGACAACAGTGGTGCGAAACGAGTTTTGGCATTGACAAAGAAATACTCGAGTGACATTGTCTCAATTAAACTTGGAACGCAGCAGGCAGTGGTAATGCACAACATAAACGATGTTAAAGAAGCGTATGCAAAAGAAATATTCAACGATAGACCCGACGGAGTGAGATTGGGATTCAAAGGAATTCTTGGTAACGATGGGCAACAATGGAAAGAACAGCGACGTTTCGCTTTGCACACGCTTCGAGATTTTGGACTTGGAAAAAATAGAATGGAAGCCGTTATCCAATCGGAACTCGACTATTTCGTTACCGAGATCTCACGTCACAATGGCGATCCCTTCGATCCGACAGATCTTGTCAGTAACGTAACGGCAAATATCATCAGCTATCTGGTATTTGGGCACAGGTTTGAATATGATGATGCAGAATTCCAAGAAATGATACAAATGGTGTGTCAGTTGTTTCAATACGGAAGGAAAGTTTTCTTAGGAAACATGGTACCGTTGATAAAATTATTTCCGTATTATACCCAGGGGAAAGCTAAACTTGACCAGTCACTGGATAGACTATTCAATGGTATATACAAACCTGAGGTATGACACAACTTGATTCATTTCACTTTTTTCTCGATGCTTTCGAAATGTATAGCATGACCGATAATGCCAAAACAACACATAGTTAAGTTATATTTTGTCATATCTTAAAATGTAAGAATGACCTTCTTTCTCTATAACGCAAAATAGCTGTTAGGATAAAGCACGTACACTCTTGGCATCCCCGGGTTCTGTTGCCCACCTCTAAATTGATATAATCGGGAACCTTATTTCTAACTACAGGGTGGGCCAAAAAACGCCACTTTTTTCAAAACACTATATCTATAACTTTTTTTATTTTCCAACCTACATACCCCAAATTTTGCAGTTATATAGTGCCAAGGGTTCTTAGTAATAATATAATGTAACGAGTCCTTCAACGGGGATTATATTTGATCTAAAAAGAGGAGTTCAATTGGTCCGCCACCCCATTTGATGATAGATTTTAGTTTTAGTCGCCTTGCTGATATAGCAGTATCAATGAAATGTTAGCTATATTTTTTTCAATGTATCTTAATTGCCAGCTTTAGTTAAGCAATTTATTAGATCGGGTGCCTTCATACCATCTCCTGGAGACCTCCCCATGCCCTATACTCACTTGGGTTTGAATAAAGGCTATTAGCTTGCGGTCATCAGGGCGTATCAGTTTAGGAACATTATGCAAATTATGCTTATTTCTCATGGCACACCACATGTTTAAGTGAGACGCTGGTAACATATTTTATTCAAGCAAAAGTGTATAATTCATGATCAATGGCTAGATGACAACCTCGAGTTTCATTTGGTATGTGAATTATGATTTTGTATCAACAATTAAAAAAGTTATAGCATTTTGAAAAAAAGTGGCGTTTTTTGGCCCACCCTGTATATTGTCCTCTTACCTTAATACTCGACTCGATCGGGCAAATGAAAGCCTGTGATGTGAAAAACAGCCTACGGGGGACCATAATTTTACAGGTTTCACGTAATCATTCTTCAAAAGAGTGTTTAAAGATTAACCTCCCTATTATTTCAGTTTGAACAGCACTTAAAGGAATATGACCCAAACAACATAGAGGATTATGTATCAGCTTTCATTAAAGAAATGAAACAACATGAAAATTCAACAGAACAACATTGGTTCACGGGTAGGTTCTCCTCTACAATGCTTTGTCCACACAACAGAATTCGATATATGTGTCTTACCTACTTGTCTTAGTACACCATACGCGAATATATTTGCACTACTGTTATACACCAAAATGTTCTTAATGTATCATACAATGACTGGGGGTTGATTTAGTAGTTTAAGACTACGTTCAATGATGATGAAATGTTTTAGAGGAGCAGTTGTTATATAACATCGGAGATCTTTTTCAAGCTGGCACCGACACAACAGCAGGCTCGATAAGGTAAACATCATTACTATATGTTTTAAATTTATGGGTTTTCCGTTTGCAAATAACAACCCAAAGGATGAGTCTGGGAATGAGTCTGGGTATCGACTTAGAAAATATTGAAAATTGTCATGTCTGAAAAACCAACTCAATCACACATATTATTAAACTTCAGTATCTTATCCTTCTTATGAGATTACAAAAATTTCAATTTGTATCACAATTGATGAAGAACATTGGGATCAAAGACAGTGCATATCACTTTGTCAGAATTGAAAAAAAATCAATGGCAAATATTAAAGGAATTATTTATACACAAAAAGTGTGGAACATATCCTCCAAAACATTGCTTACTTTCTTTGTTTAGACATTGAATGGTATTTCTGGATAAGTGAATTGGTGTTTATCTGGGTAATCAAGGGATTATAGTCACTCAAAGGTACTGAGCATCCAGTTTTGACACTTCAATTGTGTTGGTGAAGTTACACATATTTCAGTCGTCAAATTCATGCTGAGCGCAACATTTTGGTTTCAATTTTATAATCTCTATACATGACCCTGGTGATGAAGAGCCAGAATCAGTCAAAAAACCTAAACCGGAAAACTGTGCTCAATGTGAAAACTAAAAGTGAAGCAACTTTTTTTCTGATATTTCTTACATCAAATGGCAGCCATCTTGTTTTTCCCCCTTCAAATTAAACTGGTGGGAAATTCAAAAATTTGAAAAAAATTTAATCCTTAAATATATTTCAAAAATATGATTTTCTTTTTAATTCTTCATGGATCTTAAGTTATTTCTTCTTTGTATGTCATACATGTTGCCATTGGTGTTTTTCTATGATAATGACCCTTTTTTTATTTGTTAAGATACTTATTATGACTCTCAGCAGGGGGTTAATTATGCATCAAAACTCATGAAAAAGTAAATATACTTATCAAATATAACTAGGACAGTAATAAAAACCATATTTCACATACATTTGACTGAGGGACCAAAAGGGCATATATCCAGACACATCCTTTACTCTGGTTTAAGCATAAACAGTATTACAATTAGGGGAGAACTATTTAAATAGATAAGGTCAATCTAGTTGAAATCGAATTATGTACTATTCTACTATCGGACTTCATTTCGACAGTTAGCATTTAAATGGCACTAACTATTCATTTGTAAAATTTTATAAAGGCAGTTACCTTACCTTGCCTTGTGCCTTGTTACACCCCTTCTGGGTACTGGCTTTAAAACTCTCTGTGGTTTTATATTGCTCATTGTGTTTAGATGGATGCTGCTATGTATGCTGAAATACCCAGAGGTACAAAAGAAAGTGCGCGCTGAGATTCTCAGTCAAATAGGCTCAGAGAAATCTCCTTCTATGACAGACAAATTGCAGCTGCCTTATACCGAGGCGACAATACTCGAGGTTCAGAGGATTTATGGTCTAGTCGTTCCCCTGGTTCTTATTCATCAGACTAATCAGGTTACACAGCTAAAGGTAATAACATATAGTAACAACATTTACCCATTTCAAACGAAAATGTCAATAAGAAAAAGGGCAACATTGAACGATATTGATTACCCGTGCTGGGCAGCATTATCGGTCACGTCCTTTTAAATAAAAGACGGTCATTAGTAGAAAGTAAAGGTGTTAAAATACAAATACACTTATACAAATGAAAAACTTCCTTGGCTGTAACATAAAAAATAATATTTATGCACACATGAAAGCATGCTGCTAGTGTAAACTTTTTCCAAAACGTATGCAATGAAACAGACTCATGATATGATAATTCAAATTTACGAAAATAAAATTGTAGAAAGTGCGTATTTGCTCTGTTATTGACTTCTTGTAAATTGAAGTTCCCAGGATATAGGATAGTGGATGTACAAACTGACTAGAAGGGCCAGCCAGAGAAATATCGTTCCGGGTCTTATCAACAGCTTATAGGAGACCATATATGAATCCATATTGGATACCACTTGATTATAATTTTTACGTTTTGCCATGATTTATTACACTAATAATACTCTTAAAATACAATGTACACTACAAAATAACGAGGCATAGCAGGTTGCATTCTGTATTATAAAATATGATTTATTTCAGGGATATACTCTACCACCAAACACCTTAATTGGAGCCAATCTGTATGCAATCCATAATGATCCTAAACATTGGGGAGATCCAGAAGTCTTCAGACCAGAGAGGTTTCTAGGGGATGATGGCAAAGTAAAACGAGATGATCATTTCGCAGTTTTTTCAGTTGGTAAGTTTCTATATTTGTAGGAGCAATAGAGACGAGATGAGAGTAAGTTCCCAAAAATCGTGACACATTTTCAATATGCTTTGCTCTTGCCAATGCTTGTCATGCCCTTATTTTTTGTTCAATAACTGACTTTGTTTGATTGGACTTTTCCGACCCTTCAACAGGTAAGGAAAATTCAAGTGCAGCATCGACGAGATATTTGAAAAATTGCTTCAACTTACCCTCTATTCTCTGTAATTGACATACGACTTTTATACGAGAGACCTAACGGAACAGTTCATATCTAGAGGTATCTAGTGCCACTGTCTACGCATGACATGATACAAGGTGATCCAAAAAATGCAACCCTCCATTTCTTCTATATTATTCTTAAATGGAGATTAATTGCTTTGAAATTTAGCAGACAAGGACTTCATTCAATGTGGGATCCTCTGGCCAAGTTTCAATAATCATAGTCGTATATTAATAGAGCTATGGTTGTTTCAAAATATGCTCCAGATGTCGTCAATTTCGCTGAAAACAAACTTACAATGTTCAAGGAAAACTGTTCACAAAAAGGATGCATTCTCCCCCATGGGTATGGCTCAAATTTTGCAGCCATTGCTTGTTGGAGTTCTGCAATTGCAGTAGGGTTATTTTCATACATATTATCCTTTAAATAACCCTATATATAGAAGTGAGGGGAATTGAGATCAAGACTGTGGGATGACCATGGGTTTTCCGTCCTAGGAGAGATAATCATCTCATAGAAATGACTAATGAGCACGGCCATGCTATCATTAGAAGTGTGAGGAGTAGATCCATCCTTCTAGAACCACTGTTCTTGTCTATTGAAGCCTCTATGTCATTCTAGAACTGCCTAGAACTTCCTGGGAACGCCAATATTGCACTGTGTGTTAACAGTAACAGTGTTGCCATTATCAACCTCAAACAAAAAGGGGCTGATGATTTTATGTTTGGAAATTGGCAGCCCAAGCTGTACATTTAACAAAATGAAGGGGCCTTTGAAGCACTTCAACTGGAATTTGTGATCCCAGAAAACATTATTTCTTGAGTTTACATGTTCAGAAAGAATGGAATGTGATTCATCCGAAAACCTAACATTGGAAATGGACGACATTTGGAGCATATTTTGGAACGACCATAACTCTATCAATATAAGACTATGATTATTGAAACTTTGCCAGAGGATCCCACATTGAATGAAGTTCTTGTGTGCAAAATATCAGAGCAATTGACCCCCATTTAAGAAAAATATTGAAGAAATGGAGGGTTGCATTTTTTGGGTCACCCTGTACATGACTCATGAGTGTTATTAACAAAATATGTGGTGAGAATGTTCTTTAATGGCATCCAAATCTAAAGTATCGATTTACTTGATAAAAAAATTACTAATTTCATTTTTTAGGAAAAAGACAATGCCTTGGTGAATCCCTCGCTAAGATGGAGCTTTTCATATTCTTTGTGGGTTTGATGCAGAAGTTTGAAGTGAAATTGCCTGAGGGAGCAAGTCAACCAGTGATGAGACCTCAACTCAACCATTCAACACAATCGCCTATATCATACAGTGTATGCTTCAAACCGAGTGATAATTGAACAATACAACACAGTCGACTATACCATACAGTGTATGTTTCATACCAAGTGTTTGATACATTGATAATTGAACAATACAGCACAGTCGATTATTTCATACAGCGTATATCTTCATACCGAATTTTTGATAGTTGAACATTTCAACAAATCGCCTATACCATACAGTGTATGTTACGTAACAAGTGTTTGATAATATCCTAGATGCAAGTAGAAATAATCTTGATTTACGTCTGAAGTAAAAAATCACAATTCAGTCAAACTGGTATCATATTTGGAATCTAGATGTAGGATAACATATAGAAATGTGGTTTTGAAAAGAGTTTATCAACTTTAAAAATTTAATTTTCTTTGAAAATGTGACTTCTAGGTCGGGGAGATTCCCCATAGACCCCATGTTGTAAAACCACAAAAAGTGAAATATCTTTTTTGTGTTGGGCAGATAATATTTTCTTTTACTGGACATATCTTAATTTGTATAACTATCACATACATAAGGGTAATATGAAACGTGAACCACTAAAACTGATGAATATTCAAGTTTAAGGGAATTTTGTAATACCCTGCCATGTTATTTCCCCCGAATCAGCCACCTGGTGGCAAAACTTGTAACTGCCTACTCGCATCTGAGCAATTCTACAAAATCGCCTGTACAATACAGTGTATGTTTCATAACAAGTGTTTGATAATTGAACAATTCAACACAATCGCCTATACCATACAGTGTATCTTTCATAACAAGTGTTTGATAATTGAACATTTCAACACAATCGCCTATACAATACAGCGAATGCTTCATACGAAGTGTTTAATATAGTTCTAGTGGAACATTTCTTGTACCATACAATGTATGTTTCAAACAAGTGTTTGATAGAGTGCTAATTGAACAATTCAACACAATCACTTTTACCATGCAGTGTATATCGTCATACCAAATGTTTGATAATTGAACAATTCAACACAATTACATACACTATACAGTGTATATCGTCATACCAAATGTTTGATAATTGAACAATTCAACACAATCACTTTTACCATGCAGTGTATATCGTCATACCAAATGTTTGATAATTGAACAATTCAACACAATCACTTTTACCATGCAGTGTATATCGTCATACCAAATGTTTGATAATTGAACAATTCAACACAATTACATACACTATACAGTGTAAGTTTCATACATTCTGATACGTGTTGCACCTAAAAACCTGCCTGTGTTTATTTCAATCTATGATGCAAGAAGAGAGGGCCATGGTATTGCATGATGTGTTTCATAAGAAGTCTTTGATAGAGCGCTAATTGAGAGTACAACAACATCGCCTATACCATGCAAGCACGAACGGTGACTGGACAAACTGGATAAGGGGGGGGGGGGGTAGGCGAACTCTACAAAAAATCAGCAAATCTGAAAGATTTATTTTTCATGAAAAAGTAATAGCATCGTCTTTTTCGCTAATGTATATGAACAGTCAAAGTGTAATCGTGCTTCATTCTTTGAATTGATAGGCATGTCATCCCATTTTTAAATCAGTTTGTTATATAATTAGACTGTATTATAAACGGTATAAAAAGTAACTCAACACCCCTATTAGTATTCTTAACAATAAACTAGTCCATAAACATGGGTTATGCTCGGTCAACACTAGGGAGATTTTGCAACTCACTTATAGCATATTTCCGCATACCTATAACTTATGAAGCGTTTGATAACGTCATCATTAATTAATTAATCAAGGTGTGATATTCTTACGTATAGACGACGTTTTATAAATTCAGTTCGAGGTTAACCAACTTTTCTGCATTAAAACAAAGGTGGTTGTTTACACTATTTGTAAAGTTTCACCCCATATATCACGTTGACCTCGATTCGACCTTTGTTGACCTACAATTTCGAAGAATACGATACTTTTTCTGGAGAGTTAATTGACAGTATTGAAAGTTAATGATAATACCAACATTATTGAAATGAGGAAAATGTTTTAAAAAATCGCAGAGGTGCGGGGGGGGGGTCTTGCGACTTATTGTTATGAAAATGTTATTGGTCTGGCTAGGTTAGGCTGTCCTTGCATGTAGTCAGACATGCGTCATATATCTACAAAGGAGAAAACTAGTGGTTTACACTACTTTTCCGAATTTACGTGATTTATATTATGTCTACCTGTGATAACAGTCAGCTAGGGTCTAACGTATAAAGTCGAGAGTATTTGTAAAACGCATACAGTGAGCGCACCCGCAACTTTTACACTTAATAAAGCTACAATAGATTGACTAAACAGCTAATCACGTAAGTTATAAGTCATTTCTTGTAATTATTTAGATCTTGGACGAACAAGGCATTGCAGTTTTAGTTTATCTTTAATTGTACTTTTTACAAAGACAGGATCCCTTCTTAAAGAATTTTCATCTTAGCATTCAAGCCAGTAACCAGCTTTTGCCAAGTGGGTTCACTGCTTAGGAAATTAAAGGGACTCATTTATGACAGTTTTGGACACAAAACTAGACACATCTTTAACACAGTGAGACAGTTCCTAGTGTTCATTAGAGTTGTGTCGAGGTTGTCATTTTAGTAAAATTATACCGTGACCACATGGATTTGAGAAAAAGAACTTGAACAGACCTACCATAACCCACCTTCCTGTTTTTGAAAATTCTTCTGCTGTAAATAGTGTCATATACGAGGGTTGATCCAAAAGTTCCGAACCATTTGCTCTAAAAATCTTAATATTTTATGAACATATTTGGCCACAGCCACCCCATATATAGTAGTTTCATTTTGTGTAAAAATAAGCAATAAATTTGACCAGCAACATAGGTGTCTGGTTAGCATAGCAACACGACAACAGGGTAGGTGGAGCAAGAGTACGCACAGTTATCCTGATTCTGTGGCAACTGGAGTTACCGGCAATGGAGCTTATTGTTCAAAGGTCAGTTACAAAACCGTATCTCTCATTTATAAAGTTGTAAACTAGATTACTTTTATGGGGTATGTTGATCTATATTGAGTCAATCAATAAGGCATGACACTCAGTTTAAAAATGTGTTCTGGGTGCTGAAGAAAGATCTTAAAGATGCTATGAGAAAGAAATAACCAGATCTCCTTGGGAATTTTTACTTTCACTATGATAATGCCCAAGTCCACAGAGCCAATGTTACCAAAGAGGCAATACACGAGTGCTTGCAGACCCAACTACAGCCCGATCCCCCATATTCTACTGATATGGCACCATGTGACTTTCATATGTTTCCTGAGGCCAATAAACCACTGTGTGGTATCCAATTCGATGACGAAGCTGACCTTATCCAGGCATTTACTATAGCGTTTATGCTAGAGCTAAATGTGGACTTCACCATGTATTTCAGGACTGGTTGAAACGCTGTAAGAAGTGTGTAGCACATGGTGGTGACTATTTTGAAGGTGAATGAACTTATAAACTATAATGACCTATTGAATGAGATTTTATGGGGGTGAAACTCCACAAATTGAAATGATCTGAAATAGCTCTTTAATTGCTGAAATTCGGAATAAAGTTTAATTTATTCCAGCTCCACCTACCCTGTTGTCATGCTGCTATTTTAACCAGCCACCTATGTTTATGAATTGCTGGTCAGATTTATTGTTTATTTTTACACAGAATGAAACTACTATATATTGGGTTGTTGTGGCCAAATATGAACAACATTCATAAAATATTAAGATTTTTAGAGCAAACGGTTCGGAACTTTTGGATCAACCCTCGTATTACACCGTCTATCCCTAGAAGCGACATGTCTTGACAAACTTTTAAGATGGGTTAGCACTTACCCAATCAAGAGTTGTATTACTTTACTCAGCAAACATTAGATGACGCTTTCCTAAGCCAGAAAATTGAGAAAAAAGACTTTTTTACTAAGACCAAAATTACCGATAACCGCTATTACTAAGAACGTCACCGTTGTCAAATATCGTCAAAGAGTCGCTTTGAACAATGGTGTACTCTGCAATACTAACTTACTCTTACTCTTTATAAATGTATTGATGTTGCTTTTTTCTTTTGCAGGATGGTGACGTCAGAACTGATGTTTGAACTGACCAATTTGGTGACAGGTCTGATGATGTCGACATTATTGATCTTAATTACAACAAAATACCTCGATTCAAGAAGATGGGACTTACCACCAGGACCATTTGCTTGGCCAGTTATAGGTACATTTTTTTTAAAGTTTTCGATAAAAAGAGAAATAAGTACTAACATGAAATATAGTTGACATATCGTAAATAAAATACATAGAATATGTAATGAAATATGAGACATTTATACATTATATTACTGTTTCGGATGTTGTGGGGTTTTTGTTGCCATGGTTGTGTCCAGTTGGTTCTTTTTCTTACGGAGCTTTGAAATGACATTTTGCCTTGCCCCTTTCTCTTGTGCTTACATAATGAATGAAATGGGAACAGTTTCACATATAACATTTTGATAACATCGTGAAAGGCTAGCCAGTGTCTTAAAATGGGACCTTTTAAATTTGATCACAGGTAATGCTTCAATCTTCAAAGCTACTCCTGGGGACAACAGTGGCGCAAAACGAGTTTTGGCTTTGACAAAGAAGTACTCGAGTGACATTGTCTCCATTAAACTTGGAACGCAGCAGGCAGTAGTAATGCACAACATAAATGATGTTAGAGAAGCATATGCAAACGAAATATTCAACGATAGGCCAGACGGAGCCAGACTGGGATTCAAAGGATTTCTTGGTAACAATGGGCAACAATGGAAAGAACAGCGACGTTTCGCTTTGCACACGCTTCGAGATTCTGGACTTGGAAGGAACAGAATGGAGGCAGTTATCCAATCAGAGTTGGACTATTTAATTGCCGAGATCTCACGGCATAATGGAGATCCTTTTGATCCGACTGATCTTGTCAATAAAGTCACCGCAAATATCATCAGCTATCTGGTATTTGGTCACAGGTTCGAATATGACGATGCTAAATTCCTGGAAATGATACAGATGGTGTCTCTGTTGTTTCAATATGCAAAGAAGGTTTTTCTCGGACAAATGGTTCCATTGATAAAAATTCTTCCGTGTTACAGCCAATGGAAAGCAAAACTTGATCAGTCACTGGACAGACTTTTCAATGGTATATACAAACCCGAGGTATGACAAAACTTGAGACATTTACGTTAACTTAATAAGTCTAAATGTATGCCATAACCGATAATGAAGTAAAATCATTTAAAAACAGTTCTAAATTTTGGCATTTCTTGATATAGAATATGACTTATACATGTTACTATGATCATTAGTACAGAGAGGTTACAGGGTAAGACACATTTGGGAGAACGTGTAATATTATCATTCCCGTCAAGGATTATTGCCCACTTTTCAAATGGTTTAAATAGGAACCTTGTAACAATTATTTTTCTCACATCTCTATACTTAATCGGGTAGAAGAAGGCCGCTGATGTAAAAATAGTGCATATTTCTATTATTATAGTATGAACAGCACTTAAAGGAATATGACCCAAACAACATAATAGATTATGTCTCCGCTTTCATAAAAGAAATGAAGAAACATGAAAATTCAACAAAACAACATTGGTTTACAGGTAGGTTTTCCTCTATAAGTCTTTTACTGTTAAATCACTGTTAAATGGTATAAATGTATCATATAACAATACGTTGATTCGTGAATCTTATTAATTCAAAACATCTTATTTCATCTCATCTTATTTCCTTTACTGACTCAAATAATACCTGACTAAAATTTCCCTGAATAAATCAATTTGTATTTCAGAGGAGCAGTTGTTATATAACATTGGAGATCTTTTTCAAACTGGTACCGAAACAACAGCAGGAACAATCAGGTAAAATATCACTTACTATATGTTCTTAGGACCATATAAG